GTTAAGGTAGCTGACGTGAGGTGAGTTGAAGTGAAGTGACGTGACGTGACGTGACGTGACTTGGCGTGACTTAGCGTGACTTGGCGTGACTTAGCGTGACTTGGCGTGACTTAGCGTGACTTGGCGTGACTTCACCTGACTTGACTTGACTTGGTGTAATTTGACGTGAGGCGAGGCGAGACGGGGCGGGGCGAGCCGAGGCTAGTTTAGGTTAAGTTAGGTTAGGTTAGGTTAGGTTAGGTTAGGTTAAGATACGGTAGGTCGGGTTTGCTCAGTAGACTTGTGCGCATCAATCAGTAAGTGAGAAGTAAGATATCCCTGCTGTTAAGATAGGTGAAGTGAGGTGAGTTGAAGTGAAGTGACGTGACTTGGCGTGACTTGACGTGACTTAGCGTGTCTTGACGCGACTTGACCTGACTTTGCGTGAGTTGGCGTGACTTGACCTGACTTGGCATGACATGACGTGACTTGACGTGAGGCGAAGCGAAACGTTGCTAGGCGATCCGAGGCTAGGGTAGGCTAGAGTAGGTTAGGTTAGTTTAGGTTAAGTTAGGTTGTGTTAATTTTGTTTAGCATTGGTTTGCGCAGTTGACTTGTGCGCATCAATCAGTAACTGAGAAGTAAGGTTTCCCTGCTGTTAAGATAGGTGATGTGAGGTGAGTTGAAGTGAAGTGAGGTGACGTGACTTGGCGTGACTTAGCGTGACTTGCCGTGATGTGACGTAACTTGACGTGACTTGGCGTTACTTCACCTGACTTGACGTGACTTGGCGTAATTTGACGTGAGGCGAGGCGGGACGGGGCGAGGCGAGCCGAGGCTAGGGTAGGGTAGGTTAGGTTAGGTTAGGTTAGGTTAGTTTAGGTTAGTTTAGGTTAGGTTAGGTTAGGTTAAGATACGGTAGGTCAGGTTTGCGCAGTAACCTTGTGCGCACAATCAGTAACTGAGAAATAAGATTTCCCTGCTCTTAAGATAGGTGAAGTGAGGTGACGTGACGTGACGTGATTTGACGTGGCGTGGCGTTACTTAGCGTGACTTGACGTGATTTGACGCGACTTGACCTGACTTTGCGTGAGTTGGCGTGACTTGACCTGACTTGGCGTAACATGACGTGACTTGACGTGAGGCAAAGCGAAACGGTGATAGGCGATCCGAGGCTAGGGTAGGCTAGAGTAGGTTATGTTAGGTTAGTTTAGGTTAAGTTAGGTTGTGTTAATTTTGGTTAGCTTTGGTTTGCGCAGTAGACTTGTGCGAATCAGTCAGTAACTGAGAAGTAAGATTTCCCTGCTGTTAAGATAGGTGAAGTGAGGTGAGTTGAAGTGAAGTGACGTGACGTGACTTGGCGTGACTTGACGTGACTTAGCGTGACTTGCCGTGATGTGACGTGACTTGACGTGACTTCACCTGACTTGACGTGACTTGGCGTAATTTGACGTGAAGCGAGGCGTGACGGGGTGAGGCGAGACGGGGCGAGGCGAGCCGAGGCTAGGCTAGGGTAAGTTAAGTTAGGTTAGGTTAGTTTAGGTTAGGTTGGGTTGGGTTGGGTTAGGTTAAGATACGTTAGGTCAGGTTTGCGCAGTAGACTTGTCCGCATCAATCAGTAACTGAGGGGTACCATTCCCTACTGTTAAGATAGGTAAAGTGAGGTGACGTGACGTGACGTGACGTGACTTGGCGTGACATGACGTGACTTGACGTAATTGACGTGAGGCGAAGCGAAACGGGGCGAGGCGGGCCGAGGCTAGGCTATGCTAGAGTAGGTTAGGTTAGATTAGGTTAGCTTAGGTTAATTTGGGTTAGGTTAGGTTAGGTTAAGTTAGGATACAAATTGTAAATCACTCCGTCCAATGTGACCTGTAAGTTTTTTACTGCATAAAAACTTAACACCCTTACATGTTTCGGTCTCTGTGGACCATCTTCAGAGGGCAAACATCACTACAAATAGGAAACCACTATCACATAATTTGTTTACACGCAAAGTACGTACATTTATTTTTTACAACACACAGTACACAGAGTAGAACATTTCACAAACACAGCAGTTTCCTGGGAATGTAAGTTTTAAAAAATTGTATAAAATTCCTTGATGCTAATTAAAAGTTTTTTAGATTGCCAATAATTAAAATTCGTAAACCATGCAGGCTCGTGTTCGTCCTCCCATCGTCTCTCTTATATGGGGCAGATATTGTGCCACCTGGCTATCTTGATGTGGAGGTTCTGCGCCCACATTGACGTTACAAACACAACAAGCATAAATTCATGTGACACAACACACTTCTGAACAGTGCAAACAGCACAGCAGCCACGAGCAAACCCTGGACGAATTGACCCTGAATCGTCCTGTGATGTAGCTCATTTGACCGTTTCAGGCCGATATCGTACCGGAACTCGCGCCCTGTTACGAGTCCGAGGATGAGACGATGGGGCGTCGCAACAAGGTGGCCAGCGATTTGCATCTGCAGCGAAACAAGAGAGGCACGCCACTGTACTCCAAGGAAGATATCCGAGAGCAGTACTGCATCACCAGCAAACAGCTAGACGTGCTAGAGAGAGCGAGAGGCTCTGGGCTCTTCGGCTGTCTTTCCAACTATCACGTGAGTTCCTTCCCTACATGCTACTGCATCCAGATTAAAATTATAGTATTTGTCAGCACGCCACTGTATTCCAAGGAAGATGTCTGAGCAGCATTGCATCACCAGGTGTGTACCTGGATGTGCTAGAACGAGCGAGAGGCTCTTATACACGTATTTTCTTCTGTCTCTCCAACTATTACGTGAGTTCCTTGCCTGCATGCTACTGTAAGCAGATTGAAATAATATGATTAGTTAGCACTCCACTGCACTGCAAGGGAGATACTCGCGACAATTGCTCTATCGTCCACAAGCAACGACACTGTCCAAGAACCAACTTTCTTATATGCACACCAATGTAACTATGAAAAAAGTTTTTTGCTATGCTATTGTATATTCGCGATCGATTATGTATTATCGGCAAGCAGCTGAAACCTCTAAGAGTCATATGGGTATTTCTGCCTGCACGCCACTCTATCCCAACTACAATAGANTGGACTTAAATCAGTGCAACAGGACGCTAAAATATAACATTACAATAGATATATCTGTTAGCATGCACTGCGCAACTTGGAGGTTATCCATAATCAGTATTTAATCACCAGCATGCAGTAGCTGAACTGTCCAAAACAACGCGAATTGCTTGTCTGTATGCCACTATATCCATATCACATTAAATTTATTTCTTTGCATGCCATTATACTTGAAGGAAGATATGCAACAGCACAGCTGTACTGCCCCTTAACTATTGACGTCTCCAAGTACAGTATGCGCAAAAATAAATAAGTACTGAAACCCGCGCATGTGCATTTGTCGACGGGACATAGCTCCAGCCGCACGTGTTCCCAGTAGTGAAAAGGAAGTTATGTTGTGCAGTTGCTGTTGGAAATGGGTTTCTCGCCGGAGGAAAAATTATTCATAGTTGAATATTATTTCCGCTCATAGGGAAGTGGTCGCCAGACAACTCACTTCCTTAGTTTTGAGCTGCCAGACGTTACCGTCCAGAAACCGCTACACAGTACACGTGTGACGGTATGGAGTGCCGTCTCAGCACACGGTATATTAGGCCCCTATTTCATTGAGGACGAGGAAGGCAATTCTCTTACCGTCACCCAAGAACGCTACAGGGAATGGTGATCGGACCATTTCTTCAGGATTTGAGAAGGTTCTGTCGTGCAAGGGGCCTTCACATGAATAGACAGTGGTATCATCAGGACGTCTTTTCATTTCAGTTTTTTTTATTTTGGCTCATCTGTACTTCGTGATTTTCTTGTGTGTACGCCACTGCACCCACGATAAGGTAATTGTTAACACGCCACTGTACTGCAAGAAGGATATCATTGAGCAGCAGCTTTATGCGGTTTATTTCTAAGTGGATGAACGCTGGAAACTACATGAGAAAATATGTCTCTGGTTTAAAGGTTTAAATACAACTATAAATATTTTAAATGTTTACGTAGGGGTCTGATAAGCTACAGAGAAAAACTCTATCAATAATTAATTTTGACACAATGTCCTACACTTCGAAGCGTTTTCTGTGGATATTGTAGATATCTGTTGAACCTGGTCCGGAGATAACATTGCTTCTTTTCGTACCAACTTGCTAGTACAAGAGAAAAATCATTTTCCATTTCAAAGACTGCGTGCTACAAACCCATTCCGACGTTCACAGATTTAACATCTTCCCATCACCTTCTTGGTCTTCACACGTCTCTCTCACATATGGGATTTTATAAGTCCGGTAATATTGAGAGTCTATCATGCATCTCCTTTACATGTTGTTTCCAGGTTAATTGTCATATCTTTGCTCCTACCATGTTCTCAATTGCAGTAGGTCTCTCTATCTTGCAAATCAATGGCTGTTTATTATCCTATTTACATGTCGCTGGGGCACGCGGTAGCGTAGTTGGTTGAGGCACTATGCCACAAGCCGGAAGGTCGCGGGTTAGATTCCCGATGAGGTCACTGGATTTTACAATTGACCTAATCCTTCCAGCCGTCTATGGCCCTGTGGTCGACTCAGCATCTAACATAAATTAGTACCAGGAATATTCCTATGGGGTAAAGGGCGGTCGGCGCGTAAGGCTGACAATCTCACCGCCATATCTGAGTCGATTATCTAGAAAATGTGGGAACCTCGATGTCTCGATGTCTCGATGGGCCTTTCACAGCCCATTATATGGATAGCTTTATTTTTTTATTTTATATTTTATTTACATGTTGTTTTCAAGTTAACTGTACTTATTTACTTATTTTTAACATGTTCTCAGTTTGTATAAGACCCCTTTTTTCAGTATGCAGTAGGTCTGTAAAGGTAAGAATTTATTTACCCTCTTACTGGAGAACAAAACTCCAACATTTCCGTTACGTTCAAGTTTTCCTTATTGTAATAGTTCTCCAGTATTATGTATCAAAAATTAAATTTCAAGAACGACCTTTTCATCAACATTTGTTTGTCTATAACGCTCAGTCTTTGGGGACCACTTTCGGTCCATGTGCTGTATTTTGCCCACCCCTGCCTGACAAACAATTGAAGCCCTGTTGCTTTTTGATAGTATCCAATTTATCTCGTGAAACTGTCAGTTCTGGAATACTGATATTTTGTTTCCGCTGTGACAGGTCTATCTAGAGGCTGTTGACACCTGCTTCAGTCTGACGTAATGATGCAGATAGATATCACGTGATTTAGTAAACAGCAATCTGACTGTGGCCGCTCTGCCGGTCAGTCGTAAACTCTAAGCTTGTATGCACATAATTATGGCTTGTAGTACATTGGACAATATCCCCAACTGCGATCTACCCACATATAAAAGAGAAAAATAACATTAAATATTCCTACAAACAGAAGAAAACCCTGGAAAGAATTTATACTTACCTTTCCAGTTCCCTTAAGATATTTCAAACAACACCTGTACAGAAAGGCTAGGAAGAATTAAAAATAATCTTAAATTTTACCGATCTATTTGAGGACATAACAACCCCCGATATTTATATCGGTTGTGTTACTTTAGCATGATATAATATTAAAGTTTCGCTACTTTCCCACGTTATTCAATTTTAACATGCAAAATATGTAAAATATTTGAGGCAAAATTGTACTGTACATCCATGCAAAATTCCATATGCCTAGCTGCATTCATTTGTATAGCCAACAAACATTCTTTTTGGCAATTGGAATTCCCTCTATACGAGATATAGTGACTATAGAGCCATGACGCTGTTTCCTGGAATTAGGGACTAACATTTCCTGTGCACTAGATATTGTATTGTAAAAAGAGGTAAAGCTATCCCTGTAAGAGCCCATGGAAGCCCATAGGTTTGTAAGATGTAGAGGCTCCTACATTTTCTAGACAATCGGCTCACAGATAGCGGTGAATTTGTCAGCCTTACGTTCCGGCCGCTCTTTACCCCCAGTAAGATTCCTGGTACTCATTTCTGTTAGAGGCTGAGTCGATCCTATGGTCATAGTGCGGCTGGAAGGATTAGGTCCATTGAAAAAATGCAATGCTCTCATCGGGAATCGAACCAACGACCTTCCGGCTTGTAGCATAGCGCCTCAACCAACTACGCTACCGCGTGCACCAGGTGTGGTGTTATACAATCGTGACTGGAACTTATTGTATTAAGTAGTGGTGTTTCCTCCACACAAGGTGTTGTGCTTATACAGAATGTTTCTAAATTATTGTCGGAGTTTCCGTAGGCTATAATTTATATTCACCCTGTACAACCCCTTACTTGCCAAACTCTTTCTGTTGAAGGAGAGCTCATGCCAATCGCGGAACTCCCTGCTGTCTGTCTGTGTGAAGCGCAAAGTGCCCAGCGACGAAAATCTCCACGAACTCTGCCGCCGCCCTGCCGCCGTTTACGCGCCTCTACCTCGCTGGCCGCGCTACCCGCCCCCCGCACCACCGCCTCCTGAGTTCTGCCACTATGACGACGACCTGGAGTGTTCATACTTCCGACGCCGGCCCAGAACTCTCTGCAACGCTGCAGCTGCCTCCGCGGACCCCAAGAGGTACACGTGGATGACGGAGGACGAAGAATCGACGAGAATGGTGAGTTCTTCCTCCGGCCCTTGGGACGAACCATATGTCATGCTGTCTCGGATTGGTACGTCGTACTATATTGTGTTGTTGTCTTGTGCTTGTTTTCTGTGACGTAAATGCGGTGATATTAACGCGGCATCGGTGAATGCTGAGATACAGTTCACTTTACTTACTTATTCCGTTCCTCTTAAACCTTACGGTGTCGATGTTTTCTTTCTTTTCTCACTTTGATCATTTTACAGACGGCAGGACCCCTTGGACGAGTGATCAGCTCGTCTCAAGGCCTCTACCTAAACAAAGGACAACACAAACCCAGAATAAACACACATACCAAACATCCATGCCTTGTGTGGGATTCGAACCCACGATCCCGGCTTCCGAGCGAACAAAAACAGTACATGCCTCAGACCGCTCGGCTACCGTGACCGGCAGTGTATAAGAATAATATATAAGAATTCAGTTCGTACCTCACAGGAAACAGATCCGAACCCACGATCCCGGCTTCCGAGCGAACAAAAACAGTACATGCCTCAGACCGCTCGGCTACCGTGACTGACGTTATACGAGTACATAGTTCACATCATATCTTATTTTGATAGAAAGAGTATATCGGAAAAAAAGTAAACAATTCAACTTAGTTACTTAGTTAGTCGGTTTATCAGTCAGTCATTTAGTTAATTATTTATTTGCATACCTACTTTCTTTGTTACTTTGGTCTAACGCGGTCATGCAAATGTATTTGAAACCTATCAACGAAATGTTACCCCGCGTTTAGTGTTGGTGTTTGCTACATTACAGATGCGACTCACCAGTGCGCATGTCAACATATCTGAAACCTCAAACATTCTCTGTTCATGTGTACCGAAACCACAGACTGCTAGCCCATTATTTACTGACTGACGTTTAGCAGTTTCGTATATGTATGGCTGACAGATGATGCACTTCTCGCAAATATGTCACGCTGTCAGCGATGCTTTGATTCAAAGGGAAACCCATGTCATAACCTGTAACTGCATGAACCCAGAACGTAATTTCTTATGCCTCTTCATTAATTGACTATTTCTTCGTGTGTTGCTATCCTTAGGATGTGATAAGGCTGAGTCTACTTGGTACATCGACAATTATTACCGACAATTACCGGGGGCTCTTTCTGAGGAGGTAAAGCGGCTGGGGCGTGAAACTGACCTCTCACCTCGATCTAGTGCCGAGGTCAGGAATGGTGGAGCTATAATTTCACTGCCCCATACGTATTCATGGCCGGTTACGGTAGCCGAGCGGTCTAAGGCATGTACTGTCTTCGCTCGCTTGGAAACCGGGATCGTGGGTTCGAATCCCACTCAGGGCATGGATGTTTAGTTTGTGTGTGTGCGTTTTTCTGTGTTTGTGTACAGGTAGAGACCTTGCGACGAGCTGATCACCCGCCCAAGGAGTCCTACCGAATGTGTAAGATCTAGAAAAACCGAAGTGAACGGAGAAGTTCACGGAGCTAGGCCTAGGCCCACTGGGGCTGTAGTGCCAAGGAAAAAAAATGCATTTTCATGGCGTAGTGCTTAAATAATTAAGCACAAGAAAACTTTATACTTTAAATTTATTAAAGTTAATTAGCATTTATTTATTAGCCTATTATTTGTCATCATATTTCGTATGTACTTGCTTATTTATATATCAACTCAGTCAGTTAATTGCATATTTATGTATTTACTGCCTTAACGATTTCATCTCTTCAGTCGATACTTCAGTAAGTTACGTACGAACTGACTAAATTTATAGTCAAAGCATTTTTATTATGGTAATATTATATTTGGCCCTCATTTGTGTGTGTGTATGCGTTTGTTTGTGACAGGAAACCTCCGAAATGAGAGACATACTGAGTCCATCCCACCTCCCGCGTCGATCCCCGCCCCTTGACTCGTATTGATTTCGTCATACAAATTTACCCAGGTAGATAAGTGGATTATATTTTTATTTTGGATTACACTGCGATTAGGTTCCGTGTGACGACCGGGCCACAGTATGTTTGCAATTGACTCATATTTCAGGCCCGAGGCCTTGCATCCAAATCATGAAATTACTGGGCCGTAAAAACACTGTGTTCATTAATATGTGATTATGGGGCAACGAACTGTGTGGTATACAGCCCATAGGCTCAACGCCCCTGAAACTAGATCAGTTTCATCCATGTTACCAAAATCCATTCATTTCATATCGAATTAAAACAGAAAGGTTTTATTTTCTGGGACATAAGCTGTGTGTAAGTGCGTTTGTTGCATGGCCGATTCCTCGACCCTGCGGATGGAGGAGACTTTCTTCTTCAGTTTATTTTCAACCAACCACGTGGCTTCATGTCCCACAAAATAGAACTCTTCCTAACCACCGCTTCGAGAACCGAAGTCCAACAGAACAGAAAACGGCTGAAAAGCTCCATAATGAGGAGCTTCATAACTCGTACTCCTCGTCAAATAAAATTAGAATGATCAATTCAAAGAAAACGAGAGGTACAGGGCATGTAGTACGCGTTAAGAGAGAAGAAAATATTAAAAGTAATCTTATAGAGACAGGGCGGGAGAACGTGGATTTGAGTCATCTAGCTCAAGATAGGGACCAGTGGAAGATTTTTGTGAATACGGTAATGAACTTCGTGTTTCTGTAAAATGTTAGTAATATCTTTAGTAGCTGAGGATGTATTGGCTTCTCAAAAATGACTCTGCTGAAAGTGAGTGACAGCCTGTGAAGAGAAGACTAGGTGTTGCTGTGAAATGGCCGCCAGCCTGGAAGTTAGTCAATTGTAACGGAGGCAGTTGGAAGGGAGCCACCGTTCAGAGAGGACTTGAGGTCGGAAGCAAAGGAATAGTCAATGTTAGATGCCGTTACAAGGAAACGTCCAGTGAAGACACTGAGGCGTGATTTGTAACATGTGGAAATAGCGATAGTGTTATAGTTATTTGAAAAATTACGACTTGTAAATGTTCAATAAATCCACTTATCCAAAATCCAATTTATAGTCACTCAAACTAGTGGTAATATTAATATTCTAAGGTTAACTAACAACTGTGTTTAAATTGCACGAGGCAAACGTCATATCTCAATCGAGATGAGAGAATGGAAATGAATGTGAGTCAAGAAGAATGTGGACAGAGACAGCCATGGCCTATTTGAAGCTGCTGTCTCGGCTTTCGCCTGAAGTTACTAAAAAAACACAAAAAAAAATCAGTCAGGTTAGTGCAGTATCCCAGACGACATCCAAAGCAGACATCGCTGTAGCAGAAGTTCAGAACGTAAATACGGAAAACACCTCCATCTAGTGCTGAGAGTAAGAATGCTTGGAGTTATATTCCCACTCCGCCACACGCCTTCATTACGTAGCTTTTATGTAAGTATAGGGACAAATTTACCATTTACCTTGACCACGGATAATACCACCAAAGAAATTCTGACATTAAAGTGACTGCAAGTTAGAAATGCAGTTAAACAAACGCAAGGATACCCACGATAAAGCTGTAAAGTTGTCTGTGTTTAATCAGACACGACGCCATGAACGCGTACATAAGAGTGAAGGCATATCTTCACCATTCTTAACCTCGACACTAGACGCCTATGATTTGTCGGCTTGATGTCCCAACTACTTTATCTCCCGAGGAGAATCCCCCCTTCATCCATTCTTGAGGACGCCGAATGGACTCCGGATTGGGTTTCGAGCCTATGGACAAAAGAGGAATGGCTTGTTCTTAGAGGGAGACGAATTTCGTACCAACTGGAATACTCCGGCTCAGAGAATGATAGTGACAAAGTTGGGAAAATAATTGGGAAAAACTGGAAAGAGACAGTCTTCCGTTACCGACTTAGGGGATAGAGAGGCCTAGACGGCCTCAGCTATACAGTGGAGAGATGAGGACCATCTTGGGATACGTTAAGAATAATACAACGTAACTCTGCACGGTCTGTGGTGGTGACGACGAAGGGAACGACCTTGTAACTAGCGGCAGAGTCGTCGTCATTACATTCGGTGACATATTTCGCATCAGATTATCTGTTAAATATGGAATTTATTGAATTCTATGCCCCGATATTTAAAAAGGGAACTAATTTTTAATAATTTGGTCTCTTATCACAGTGTGGCAACACCTTTCGATAGCAACGCAAGTCTATTTTAGCGCTTCGGTTTCCATTTACCTCCTCAGAGGCCTCTGCTGTCATTTTATCTGCAATCTCCGCTCATCTTGCCTCTACTCGAGCAAGTCCCCACGGTATGAGAACAGTTTAAGGAAATTACGTCCATGAAGGGAGGAAAGTGGTGAAATTGCAGTTTCGAAGCACACATTAGACTCTGATATTTACGAGGAGGGCAGTCCATTTGATGGCGGGGGGTGGGTGCATGGTCTTCAGTAGGACACAAGTTTCCTCTATGGCTCTGTGACGCAAATTCATTACCTACTTGTACGGTATACAATATCTTCTCTGAGCAACGGGAATACCAGCGACCCGACACCGAGAATACATTATTTCCAGGGAGGGGGAGGGTACATGAAGCCTTATAAGAAAGTGCGTGAGATATATTTCGTGACACTGGCCACCATACGTGAAAATGATGTAAAGAAACATTTCGGCAACTTTCGTGAAACAAAATCTCTGAGTGGCATAAACAAAATTTGTTCAATATTAACACGAGTTTTTGTATGAGGAGGGTTGTTATCGAGCCAGCGAAGTCCAGGGGCTGCTTTCTTGGATTCCAGAGCCCCCCCCCCCCGACCCGGCACTATTATTAGAGACTGGTGTGAAACAAATTTTCTGAAGGCTATTCACTTGCCAACCTCAGAGGTGGAAGTCTTTGAACACTTGGAATTTAAGTTTTGCAATGGTGACTGTTAATGTTGTGGTTCTCTACGTTGTAACGCCGTGTATTTCTGAGAGTCCGACGTTTCTGGGACATAAAACGCCGTCATCTTCAGTGTCAAATGGTGGAACAAGCAATACACCAACAGAAGCTTGCGGCTTACTTTTCTACCCTGAAGATGGAGGGAATACATTTCTCCTGAACTTCGGGATTTATCCGAATTGCATTATTCCCCATATAGAGAACCTCAAATTCAAAAGTAGTCGTACTTATTTCCTTCTCTCCCTTTCCTTCTTCTTTCTTCTTCCTCATCTTCTCTCACTCTATATAATTGCCTTTTCACAGCTTCCCGCTTCTTCATCGTTGTGGCCCACATATTTGTTTGTTCAGAATCTGAAAAGACTTCACCACAGTATTTGAGGTGATGTGAATCAAGTCTGCCTCATTGCTTAAGCGTCACTCCATGACGACGTATGACGAAGCGGAAGTAAGTTCCACACATTCTAACCTCACACGTCTGTCTGTTGTCTGTCCAGGAAAGGCCTCGTCCCATATTGGATGGAGACTATGATGGAGTTCTCCACTACCCCCGAAGACCAGGGTCTTGTATGGCCCGCTATCCCGCCCACAGCCACTACCTGAGTTACAGCACAGAGTTTCTGGCAGGACCATGCCCCGCGCACCCCGACTTGCCGCCACCCCCACCGCCCCCAGCCATGCCGCACCACCACGATGCGCCGCCTCAACACCGGACTAAGCACGTCAGCTTTGCCCGCTCCCACACCCTGACCTCGTTTGACGACGCCGTGGGCGGTAAGCCAGTGGTAGTCGCCCGCAGCCAGGAGAGGCTCATCGACGGCAAGAAGAGCCTGGGCGAACAGCAGCAGGGCGGTCCCACGCTGGGCGAATCGCCTAAAGTCGTCATTATGGGTGAGTGAACACGGCCAAGTCTATGATACCGGTTCTTCTCTGAAGAGCTTACAGTTTTCGTCTGCTCAGGAAATTCCAGAGCCGAAAAATTCATCACCTTCAGTGGTGCAGCGTTGATGTTAACCGTGAAAGTCTGGCTAACATGGAAAAAAATAAAATAAAATGAAAAGTGTAATTTTGTCATTCACTGGTACTCGATATACTGGTAGGAGACACTGCCAGATATGCGCCATATGCCACTACGAGCTCCTTTTTTAAGGTTTGCATTACTCTTTCGTAAGCACGGGTGCAATCATAAAAGACACGATAAGCGTCAAGGGAGGTGGGAATGCATAACATTCCAAGCTATCATGTTAGCCTGTAGTCTCGGGATATGATCTAGCGACTGCCGTTTGTCGTCATAGCAATAAAACTTATGGTTTCTCAGAAACAGAATATGGTGTATCTCGAGCGACCGCCGCTTGTCGGCAAAGTTAGTGCCAACTTTAGCGGATAGAGGGTGTCGCGTGGTCAGCGCAACGGATCACCACGGCCTTTAATCTTGGTTTTCTAGACCGGAACTGCTATTTCCTTAAAATAACTCCTCAATTATCCTCATGATGCTGAGTGGGCCCCGTTCCAGGCCCACTACTTCTCAGAAAACCTGGTAGCGCCGGGAATCGAATCCGGACCTCTGGATCTGTAGCCAGGAACTGTGACCACTAGACCACAGAGGCGGTCAATATATGAATCATTTAGTTTAATTTTTACAATTAATGGGTGCAAGGTTCAAATTAACATATTTCGTTTCTTTCAGAAAAAGTTAAACGCGCACCCATGAAGACGCAGGCAACACAAACGGAAGTGTGTTTGGGACGAAAACCACTAGCACCCAACTACCTGTCACTGAGCCCTCGAACCATACACCGGGTACGTATGGTATCACAAGGGGCGCAGACCAACGGAAACAACATGACTCGTCGCCTAATGAAGAGCTACTCAGAAGCCGGAGAAAGGTTCGGCGTCGTGTCGTCTGGTGGCGTTGGCTCCGGTTACCCATATCACTACCCCATGGACGGATACAACGATATGAGACGAGGATCAGAACATGAACCATTGCACCGGACGCAGTCTGAGGAACCCCCGCGGTCGCCATTCCTCGTAACCACACCCCCAGACAGTCCAAGCAACATATCCCAACCTCAGGCCACCACAGGACCTCCTGCAGAAACAGAAACGCTGCAGACTCCTGCACAACAGTCGGAGCCTGCAAAGAGGAAGTCCTCTAAGATGTACAAAGAAATCTTCATCGACTTTGAACCACAAGGACTGGAACGGCGTGGCAAAAAACGCATGCTCCAAAAGACCATGTCTGAAGGTGAGATGAAGTTAGTATTGTTAAGATTTGAGGCTTTCACGGNTTGCAGATTTCTTATATTTTTTCTTCTACCCTGAAGATGGAGGCGATACGTTCCTCCGAAACATCGGTTAACACCACATATACACGGTGCCAAATCCCAGAAGACTGCTTTCTTCGAAGTTAGTATTGCTTGCTTCTCTTTATGCACTCTCTATATGAAAGTGATTGATTTTTATATTAAGGCTATACTAGTCAGCAAGGCTATGTTAATATAGAAACCTGTGTTTTCACACTAATTCTGATATGCTGATTCCAAATCTGGACACAAAAAGTTTCCACCTTACCAAAGTGTGATTTTTGAGCCAAGACAGTGAATTTTCGTTTTCCACTTTCTTATTTCTTTCTAAGTGTTCTTATAATTTTTGTAATCATAGTGTGAGGAAATTATGATATATTAGCAGATAAAAGTTTATTCTCACTTAATAAGGGCGTTGTTTTAAATTGTGTAATAAGTGGTATGTACATTCACTTGTCTTGCATACAGAAAGAAGGTAACATAGAGAAAAAATGGTCAGCATTTCAACTTTCTTTCATTTTCATTACCAGTGTTCCTGGTTTCTTCACAAAATCTTTATTTTGGGGATTATTGAAAAACTGAAAATTATTTCTTCTGTGTTACTTAAAAAGCCTCTTTCACATGTATAATTTACAAAGTGTCAAAATGAGATGTAAATAAATTGAGGAAAAAGTAAGACTTTTTAAAAAGACCGTTTCATCTGTTTTAAGGCACCCATACTAAATGGTGCCTCAAGAGAATGAGGAAAACTACAAAGATCACAGACACTGTTGCCAGTAGGCCACCATAGTTCCAACTGATACCACACAAATACAAAGCACTAGACCATGGCTTTCCATAAGAACTAGAGAGATGTCACTGTGTTCTGTTTCAAGATGCCATCCCAGTAAGTGCCTGCAGCAACTGAGATGTGTCATGAAACATCATTCATGATAGCCAGTGACCCATTCAATATTTGAATCTGGTACCCCCAAAATACGACTGTAGGACATCAGGGTGTAATGGCTTCACCAATGTGCTCACTCATTGGAATAAACTAGTTTTAAGAGACCCTCAATTATCATATTCCATAGTCTTGCAGCTCATTGTATCATATATAAGATTCATTTTGTGTAGTTTAATTTGTTTCTCCACCAGTTTCTTTCCATTTATGGTCTAATTATTAGCAGTTGAGTATAATTAGCTTCCATTACAAAATCAACACACATACTATATACCACTGTTTCATTGTTTGGCATCTATCCTATTTCATAACATGACAAATGTATGGCGCCATAATGATAAATAAAAAATTAGCCAAAATATGTAGGCACATTAATAAGATGTCATAAAAAAGAGTTAAGCAGTTTTAGCTCTTATTTCACTACAGTTTGTGATCAGAAAATTCTGCTAGTTATTACAAGAAACAATGACATACATACAATTTTCTTCAGTCTTTTGTTTCATGTATATTGTAGTAATGAAACTGACCCGAGTAAGATTTCTGCAGATGAAAATTTTTAATCTAATCTCATTCTCATTTAATACAGATATAATTAAGCATTGTAAAAATGTAGTATTCATTCCTGGTGCCGTGAAATGAAACTATTTAGAATTCTTGGAATTAATTTCATGCCAAGAGAGATTTGCTCTTTCATTAATCTCTGTAGGAATTTAATTTGTTGCAGCATGGAGTGAACCCTGACATCCTGAGAGAGAGACATACCTTGGAGATTAGTCTTTGCATTACAGAAATTGCAGGAACCATCTTGATATATAAGTCTAACTGATTTTCATTCCTTTATCCTCTCTGGTTTTTTTTCCTTTTGGCTGTTCCTAATATTCTTTTCCCCTTTATTACCTGTTCCTCTCTTTCATTGTTTTGCTCTTTGTTAGATGTTTGCATTCTTGCCATATTTTTCCAATATACTGTCAGCAATCATTACATCATTTTCTGTTCCTACTTGTATCTTCTACATCTTTCCTTATCCGTTCATACTTATTTTCTTCAGTTGCTTTGATTGTCTTATTGCTATAGCATTTTAATTTTCTAGCCTTTGAAACACAGGGACAGAATAATAAGTTCTGAATGTAGTTTAAAGTTTCAGTCTTTTGATATAATGATCTGAGGGAACTAACAATATTCATCTGGGTCGAGAAGCCATTAAGATAAATGACATTAATCTACTGTTAGGCGAAAAATAACAATGCTTGAATACCATGGAATAATTATTTATATCTGACTATGATGAAAATAACAGTAGTCTATTGATTTATAATTAATTTCATAAAGAAGTTAAAAACAAATCGGATTCAAGGATTGCCTTATACCATTCTATTTAGAATCTTAGATCTTACCATCTCCAGTTTAAAAACATGGAATTTGTTAATAGAAAATGAGATTGTGAAGTAATATCCAGTAGAATGATGTTTCGTGAAAATGCATCCACTTTTAAAAATATGGATTATGGACGGATGCATACCTGGACTTGCTCACATACTCACAACAATGATACTATAATAGTGTCTTCGATTTGTTTCTTTCTGGTCCATCACACTAACAATATTACAAAAGATAAAGCAATTCCGTCCAGTGTGAATGTTGAAGCTTCTACTACTTCACTTCTTAGCACCCTAACATGTTTCAGTCCCTATAGACCATCATCGGAGGGAACATCAATTCTTTTAAAAATCAAAATACCCAATATAATAGTAGTTTCTAAAAGTATTGATGTTCCCTCTGATGATGGTCTGTAGGGACCGAAACATGTTAGGGTGCTAAGAAGTGAAGCAGTAAAAGCTTCAACAGTCACACTGGACAGAATTGCTTTATCTTTTGTAATAATAGTGTCTGGTCCATAAATTAAGAAAAATTGAAAAATAACAAATCTTGATGTACATATGAAGAGTATGAGCTTCTTGGTTATAACAGCACATAGTTTGGTAGAAATCTACTGAGGCAAATGACTTTACAACACAAAATATCGCATTCTTCAAAGTCAATGCCATGGAACATCAAATTCAATACTGATGTACATTTATTTATTAACCTTTTGCTTATTGTTGCTATCAGTAGCTTAGTCTATATAGCACTGATTGATAGGGTCATCTGTGAATAATGAATTCCAATAATTATACCAGGAACAATCAACGGAAAATTGATGTAATACTTAACATATTCTTTGTACTAATTGTAAATGATGGTTTTAATATGATAATGGACGGCCACACCATAGCTCAAGCGGTTAGTCACTGGCTTCCCACCATGGCAGCCCGGGTTTGATCCCAGGTCTGGTCAAGTGGGATTTGTGGTGGACAAAGTGGCGCTGGGGCAGGTTTTCTCCGAGTACTTCAGTTTCCCCTGCCAATCTTCATTCCACCAAGTGCTCCACAATCACCCTCACCTATCATCTGGGTCTGGTACAATAGGCCAGAAGTGGCCGCAATACAAGGGACTTAGTCCCACCCCACTAGCATTAAAAGAAAAAATATGTTATTACTACTACATTGTTGTATTATATTGCATTTATTCAATAACAGTGCATTTCACTGCCTTAAGTTCAGCACCAAATGGCTAAGCAGTATGATTTGTCACCTTATTGTACTCACAACAGAAGGCTGAGCAGTGCTCACAGTTAAACCTATAGGACTCTCTACTATTGTAGCTCTCATTGCATGATTACTGTCTGTCATCCACTAACTTCAGTTAAATTTAGTACTAGTACAGGGTGCATCAGAAAGAATGGATGGATTTCACAGGGCAATAAAATTGAAATCCATCTATTCTTACTGACACACCTTGTATATCAGCAGAGGGATGCAGCTGCCCAGGAAAGAGATCACTATATCTGAGAGGGAATTTCCTCTGCAGGCGAGATCCTAGTAGATCGGCACCACGGAAGCACGTATAACAGTACAACGGACATGGACCTGATGGCAGATAATGGAGCAGAGGGGCCAGATGGTGAGGCTGATGTTCAAGCAGACAGTGACTATGGGTCTTACTACCCTCACCATTTGGAAGATAATGATGGTTATTTGGAGCCCCTTGAAAAGCGGTCTGCCTCACTCTTCTCATCAACACCAGCTGATCTGGAAACTGAAGGAACCAGTCCACCACTCGTGGAGGATCAGCAGGTAAGATTATCAGCACTTGTATCTCAAAATTTAGTTCTCAGACCATGAAATTTGTGATGTTATGTACCCTGAATCTTAGCCCAGTGTTCACCAAATGTCTTCAGCTACACAGTTTTTGTATTAATTAATTAATTAGTATCTGAATACACAAACCACAAAAATCTTAATTTATTTGTATCAATAGACCATTTATATAGCTATAGTCTCGGCCCACTGTTCAGAAAGAATTAAAGAGTATCTCAGCTGGAACTTCAAATATAATTTCAGTACTCAAGAAAATTAATTAGATTGGTTAATTAACCTTATTGGTTAATTAGTAAATTATAGGGTCTTATGTGTAATAGTGAGTTCCATTCATAGTCAGTCGAATAGATTCAGATTTTGCCACGATACTTCCAAGCTTCCATCTTTAGCTCTATTTTTGATGACTACTTTCTTGTCAAGTTCTTGGCATATTTCAGTCCCTTGGGGTACAATGCCAGATCTGTCCTTCTTAAGTCCGTTTGCTTTTGTAAAATCTAAAACCAATTAATACCTTAATTGGTTTACCATTGTCACTAAATGTTGCCAATAAATTCCAAGAAGCAATGCAGCTATATTGTGATAGAAAACGACAACAGCCAGGCAAGTACAGTCAGAGTTTGATGTGACTTCCACCGAAGGAACTTAGGTTTACCACTCACCACAGCCAAGGTGGATCTGAAGAGTAGCCCCTACACCCACCACAGCCAGGGTGGACTTGAAGACTAGCCCCTAACTGTAAAAATGAGCATGGATGAAACACTCAAACACTGAAACTTATGCACTGCAAGATCTGAACCCAGACCACTTGTTATCAGGACGATGAATTCCATGAGAACCTCATTTATCATGGCTTGTTCCGGAAGAGGAGCATGTCACTGGAAGACACTGTGGTGTCATCCACTGCCAGTGACCCAGACATGGAGGTGTTCCAGCAGCAGAGGCCTACAACAGTCGCTACCAACACTGGCCCTGACGAGGAGGATGATGAAGATGAAGTGTCAGAGGCACGGTCGGCCCCACCCGTAATTCTGCATGATCGAGGGGATATCAGTGAAGAGGATGTGGACACCATGGAGCATGAGGAGACAGCACCTGAGGTAGTCAGATTCCTGTTGTTGTTCGTGTCATCATAAGTAAAGGGGATAAGCCTATTCTATAGGTTATTTAATGGCATTATATCAACTGCACTGTTACAATCAGCTGTTGGGGTTCATCATATTATTTAACTGTGATGCATTAACTGGAGAATTTAGGCAGCATTGTTATCAGTCCCATGCAGTAAGAACATTTCATAGATAATTTAACAGCAATGTATCAAATGAAGAGTTAAAAGTGTGCATATTATTTAGTGGTGCTGTACCAGCTGTTGGAGTTTATAACACTGTTATAAGTTTCAGGAAGTGGGCACAATCTCTATATTATGTAATGGCAGTGTATCAACTGCAGAATGTTACTATTCAACACTTGGTGTTCAGCACATTATTTAGCACTGCCTTGCCGACTTTAGTAGTTATAAAGATCATAATCAGCTGAGAAAGAGGGCATGTTTTGCTGGATATTTAACAATGTATCAACTGCAAAGGTTATGTAACATTAACAGACAGGGGAAATAAATCAGTTTAATCTCATCATAATTAATATCATAATTTAATTCTCTATCTATTCACTATATTACCAAGTGTTTGCTGGCTTATTGTTTATTTGTTTATTATTTTGATGTCCTTATTTCACACTGATGTCAAAAATCAATTTCTAAAACCAATAAAACTGGTCTTGTTTTCGAATTATTATTCTTGTTATGATTCATAATTACCTGTAAATCATATGAACGCAGTATATTAATTTTCTGATTGTAAAGTTTCTTACTTTCTGGATGTCAGGTTAGCCCATTTGTGATTTATTTTTAACCATGAACTTTCATGGCGAATGGGTACAATCAGAGAAGAACATGAAGAGTGCAGCCTTCTGGACTGTAACAGCATGTAGTTCAGAAGAGCCCAACATTTTGGAGGAATACGTAACCTCAATCTTTAAGACTGAAGAGCAAGCCAAGCAAAAATCCAGCATAAGTAGGCAGTAAGCTTTAACTTACGTCTGCCATTTTTTTGCTTGACTTGCTTTTTGGCCTTATATGTGGAGACTTTCTGCACCTCTTAAACTTCAGGCTATTTCTGAACTGCATGGTATTAAAACTCACAAGACTGTACTCTTCATAGTCATAATGGTGACAACCTCACATGCAATGGCTACTAAATACATATGTGCATGTTAAAGCATACATAACCTACAAACCAATCAGTGTTCATTTGTTTCCATTCATTACTAGGTTGTGTATATGTGAGAACATTTTATGACTTCATTTCTGTGTGTGTAGTTATCAGCCCTATTTGCACCACAAGCTGATTAGATTGACTTGATGTACCTGTGTTAAAACTACCAGAGCGAAATGGGTGACCTCAATGAAAATAATATAGCCCTTCTGTCAGTATATGGCATGAATTATGGCATACTGTAGTATTGTACGTTTTTCTATGCAATAGCATTTATCACCATCCACATTAGGGGGCAGTGGTAGATGAGTATGGTGAAATGGTGGAATAATGATTAACAGGGGAAAACAAAAGAAACTGGAAGAGAAACCTACCCCATTGCCTCTTCATCCATCATAAACCTCACATGATGTCACTCAGGTTTGAACTCTAGGCTCTGAAGTAAGGAGCCAGGGCCTAAAAGTCTGAGTTAGGGCATGACCTAACTTCCATATAATTTGTGTTCAACATATTTTTCTGTAGGGTCTGTAGAGATTTTAGTGATTTCAAATGTCTGTCTATGAAGCTTACATAGTTTAGTGTTATATAGGTTAGATGTGATTCGCGTGTTGTTGTTCTTGTTGATGTTGTTGTTGTTGTTGTTGTTGTTGTTGTCATCCTCATCATTGTTTTATTGTTGTTATTGTTATTATAAAGGAAGTACTTCTAGAATACCTACCATTACTATTGATCACAGTACAGTATTTTACTTAAATAAATAATGTGAACAAATGATTATGAAACATAAACGTCAAGCTCGTAGTATTAATCAGACTTCTACATCAAGAATAAAGACTGTAATTTAAATTTCTCTGGATCCAGGATACCAAGACTTGACCACACAATGAACCCAGATTCTTCAATTAAACAAGAAAGTGTATTTATGAATTACCATGTATTGTTAATTTGAACCATTGTTTCCTCTATGGGTTACAATTCCTAATATACTCCCTGAAATGGAAAGAAGTGGTTTATGATAAAATTTAATAAATAGAAAGATAAATTTGGTTATAGGTTTATGTAAGGAATGTTGATTTAAAATGCTTTCTTTCTTAAATTGATAGGCATACTTTCCTCAATCAGACTTGCATTTTATATATATATACAAACAGGGGGTACGTGGTAGCATAGTTGGTTGAGGCACTATGCCACAATCCAAAAGGTCGCGGGTTCGAGTCCCAATGAGGTGAATTTTTAAATTGACCTAATCCTTCTAGCCACTCTATGGCCCTGGGATTGACTCAACATCTAACAGAAAGGAGTCCCAGGAATCTTCCTGGGGCTAAAGCACAGTCAGCGCAAAAGGCTGACAATTTTACCACCATTTGTGGGTTGATTATCTAGAGAAATGTGGAAGCCTCAAAGTCTCACAACCCTGTGGGCATTCACAGCCTGTTATAGGGATAGCTTTACTTTCACTTTTTACACACACACACACACACACACACATATATATATATATATACACACAACCATTTTTCATAGCAGATTCTTCTACAAAACTGTTTGTGGATTACATATCTTATTATTGTCTTAAATTTTATTGACTATTTCTCAAGTTGTTTTATATACAAACATTCAAACTTAGATAGTGATGCTAACAGAAGGATTTTTGCAACTTTTCATCACAAATTTGTCAAAATGGTGCAAAAGTATAATGCAGTAGAGAACAAAATTTTCGAAATACTTTGTTCATTATTCTGCATAACATAGTAGCCATCATGCTCGTTTACTGCATATATAAATCTTTTACTGCAGAATGCAATAGATTTCTGCATTTGCAGAAAGTTGGAAGTTATTTTGTTCCTTATATTTTGTTAACTTTATAACCGCCAGCTTCAATTCCTAAAGCAGGAAACCACCATTTTAGGTTGTGAGAGCTCTTCTTCTTTCATAATAAATAACATATAGATTCATCTTTTGTAAAAAATAACATATAGAAGCCCCTCAGAATTTCACATATATAGAAAAAAGATTCTGTACACATGTTCCTTTATTGAATAATTCACATAAAATGTCACCAGATATCATCACATGCTGTCAATTACAGCAATTTTAGTGAAAGTGACAATTTTTAACATGGGGCTCTTTTGTAGTGGTGTTTTTCTTAATTTCAGTAGATTTTTATGTTGTGTTTGGTTCCAGTATCTTTTCTTGTGTTGGTTGTGTGCTGTCTAGAGATATGGACTAGCTCTGTTGGTTGGGCCCAACTGTGTAGGCATTTTACCTGTGCACGCAGACAGTGTCCGGTCTCTAGAATATAATTTTAAATAAAAATATGTTGATTTATATGTCCAGAAAGTCAGTAGTTCTAGTAATATACCATCATCATGGACTTTCAAAACCATATTAGCATTTGTAGGTTTAAATATACATTTACCTAAGAATTTTTCAAATCAGAGTTGTAAAGCATAATGACATTTATACATCATGATCTTGTGCTTCAATTTTCTATAATGAGCAAACTGTTTTTTTTTTAATTTTGATGAAATGTTTGAACATCGTGTGAACTGGGGATTATAATTAATTAACACATGCCAAATTTCAATTTTCTCATGAATTTTTAGTATGGGCACAGTATGTATTTCACTAGAATTTTCCAGATAGTTTCAGAGATGAAGCATAGATTCACTTAATCCACTGTAAGCAAACAATTTATAAAAATATTATTAAATCTCCATTTATCTAAAAACATGGCTTAGAACATAAAAATGTGGAAATTGTATTAAGCAGTATAGAGTAATAAAGAACTCTTAATTGATGTTCACAAACATATTACAGTACCTGAGAATGTCCAGGTCTCTTGTGATCCAGTTATAGGATCTGCAGTTCAGCCTGATTAATCACAGCAATGCAATAAAAAATATTCATCATCAGTGTAATGTTTCATCTATAGCTTGTTGTCTAAATTATTTTTGTTTGATAGTTTATATCATAAGGTCACAAATTACTTCACCATTTTGCATAATTTATAACAAAGCAGTATTCCAATGAATCTCAGGTAATGATAATTTAAGAAAAGAGAAAAAAGGAACATAGGGAGTTATGTTACCATTTCTCTAGTCATTTCTATGGGTCATCCAATTCCCTTCTACTTTCCTCCCTCCTCCTCTCAGACAAATATTGATACAGGCATACACTACCAGGTGTTGGTTGTGCTGTACTCCACATATTGTGTAATGTTTCCAGAAGAAGATTCAGGAGGAAGTGAGTCCTCAGATGCAGGACAAAACAGACAAGGATGCAGAGCTGCTGCCACCTACAACACCATTGACACAGCCATCCTCTCTTTTTGCCTCAAGCGACTCTCTAGCAAATGACTTGCGTGATCATAGCGATGGAATCTGGAATGAGTCACAGGCCACGGTGAGCTGAAGCCATTTTGAAGAAATTACATGATACACAACTCACACTTCCACGCTCTAATTCTGGATGATTTATCTCATACCAACCAACTCATGTTATAAGTTCAATATACAAGAACTATCTATGTAATTAATCAATAGAAGAGTTCTTGAAAAGTTCATAGCTGCTGAGTTACTCAAGAAGTTGCCAGAATTGTATAGAACTCAAAGATTCATTACCACGAGCACAATATCTCACTACTAGTCCCTAACCCAAGCCAGATGAATCCAGTTTAAACCTCTCATCCTACTTCTTTAAGTTATTTTTTGATAGTGTTTATCCCTAAAACTGTACAAAAGTTAGTAACTAGGTGACACATGTGGTAAATATAGAAAAGAGTTAACTCATAATGTGATTATGATATTATTTAATTATCTTAATAAGTATTTTCATGATAATTTTCATGATAATAAGTATTATCATGATAAGTATTTTCCTTACAAAAATCTTCACATAGTTGTGAGGTTTGAGGCTCTCACAGTATTGACTGTGAAGATTATTGTCACATATTATGTAATGCCACTGTGGAGTCTGTAGACAGTTCTTCATTTTCCCTCTACTCTTCCTCCTGTATCAGCCCCTGTTGGTGCTCAGTCTTTTCTACTATCAAATTTCTCTTGAAAGACAGCCCTTTAAAGGACCACTGGTTACACACCCTATTTCTACTGATTTCCTTCTGTCTGTCAATTTAATCAGAGCCATTTCCTGTTCACTCTGACCTTGAGATGGCCAGTATTCTTTATATTCATTCCTCTTGGTCATTTTGGTTTCCTAGTAACACTGGTTCTAAACCTCATATTCCCTATGTCTGTACCATTCTTTTCCATATGAACCTTGCTCTTCTGCCCTGAAGAAGGAGGAAGTTGATTCTGCTAAAAGATTGGTACCTGTCTGCCATACTACATGGCTTCATATCTCAGAAAACAACTGTCTCACTTCATACAGATGTTCTATGTCGTCTCTCACTTGTATTAGGAATGTATAAAATGTACACCTGAAAAGGTTAATTTATCCTGGTTGAAATTTTTCATGTTCTTCCTTAGCCTTTGGATAAATCACAACTGCTTCTTTCCTTCTCTCCAGTTTGTTATTTACAAACTATTCTAACATTTAAAAAATCATGTCTTCTGGGACAGTGTGTCGTGTACCCAGTAGAAATGTACCAAGGTTTTGGAAGAATCTACTGCTTCCCACTTCAGGACAGAAGATGGAAAAAGCAGGCTCATGCTGAACATTTGTATTTGTCAATCAGAATGCATGGCTTCACATCTCAGGGACAGTAACTTCATCTTCACCACTCTGAGAACCTCAAATCTCACATGCCCTACCTTCAACTTTGTATAAATTAGGAACTTGAAAAAGCATTGTTAAATAACACAAGAAGCAATCAAGAACTAGAAGTCTGGAGATATAAACCAAAATGGTAACTGCTGAGACAAGGAAATAAATAATGATGATTAATGACAGTGGTGAATTTGAATAGAATAACGACAACAACAACAATAACAGTAACAGAAATAATGACAATAATCATAATGATAATATTTATTAATAATTGTATTAATATAAGAAAATATAAATTGAGACTTGAACTAAACTCTGTATAACTTAAGTCAAATTAAGACATCAATTACTATAAAAAATGAAGGTAACTCTTTGAAGACACTAGAAAATAATGCATAAAGTCAGGTATTTCTGTTTAAATATAATTACATTATTTCTTAGCTGCCTGTGGATTGTGTTTCTTTGTGATAGCAAACAGATATGACGAATTCAGCCAGTTGTTGCAGAAGTATCCATTTTGTACATTTAGAATTTCAGAAATTTTCCCTTTCAGTATCAGCCATACTACGTGCATCCATGAGCTACGCACAACATCAATAATGTTTATCCTAATGGTATATATTCCAGGTATTACCGTCCTCAAATCTTACGTATTACCATTTACTTTAATACCTTCAATACAGTATGAACAACTATTCTTCTGAGTCAGAACAGTGAATAATTTCTTATAATGTTTTCTTGCTTTCCTATATGTTGCACTCATTTTGTCCTTCTGATTGCTTCACTCTAACAATATTGTCATGTGTTTGAGTGATGATGATGACTGGATTTGTTGGACGCTTTTACAGGTCATGACTACACTTTACAGATTGCTGTCACATACAGACTAGTGTCCTCAGTCATGATGCTTGGTAGCAGATTCCAACAGAAGATGTTCCCCTGCTCTGGGCTCACATCCTTGCAGGGTGGCTATCATCTCATGCCAACCTCATGCTCTGACCTCTATCTTCATGTTGGTACTTCCTTCAGCTACTAGCTCACGGGCTGGACTGACTTCCAGCTGCCAACCTCCAACTTCAGCTGTCAATTTTCAACTGGCTTCTGAGCCAAACTAACATACAGTCAGCGTCAGAGTTACTTTAATACTGGCAGTTTACTGTCAGTTAGTTCATCTTGGAACCAAGCCCCTAGAGGCTCAAGACTAGAGTTTTATCTTTTTTTGTGTGGGCGGGGGACTGAACCCTTGCACAGTCATAATCCTTATGTAATCTCTTAACTCACAAAGTCAAAGTCACATTGCGACTGACAGTCAGTCAGTCAGTAGGTCTTGGTGTCAAGTCCTATGTGGGGCTCATGACCAGATATTTATTACTGTTTGACAGTTATGGTCTTGCTTTTGTAGGGCACCCTCTCTGACGAGAGGACAGGTCTGTCTTTTGTATATGCTGTTGGCCCTTGCCAGCGCAGTCTTTCTCGGGTCCGAGTCCCTTGAGACTCGCAATCATATTTTACTGTCTAAGATTTGAGACTTCCCTTTTTGTCGCCTCCTACGACTTGCAGGGTCACGGTGGAGTTATTCGACCTCGCCTCCACATGGGTTTCTAACTCACAACTCATTCTTGACTCATTATGAAGCCTAGGCGCAGATTGCATGGAAAATGCTGAGTCACATGATGCTACTGTGCTGTTCCCTAGCAATGGGCCTTTCTTCTGGCTCCACAGTTCTTGCTTTGAACAAATATGCCACAATATTAAGTTAAGAGGACACATTGTGAAGCATTCCTATATTTAATTTTCTTTGTTTACTAATTTTTCATGACCAGCCCCAAATACAGTCATGCCCATCTCTTATTGTCTCCTTGGCCAACCCAAATCAAACCCATTTCCATGTAGGATTTCAGATTCTCACAGCAATGCCTATGAAGAGTTCTATATTCTGGGATTTATAACCAAGGAGCTGGCTGGCTGTCAATGGAGGACGCAATGTTATATTCCAGAAAACACAACACTTGAAGCTCATTCCCAATTCTAACTATGTCTTCATGGTGATTCTAATACATCATATATGTACATGATCTATGTTCCTTGAACATTCGAATTTTCACACTTTTCCAAAGAATGTAAATTCCAGAGGTAGATGGTCATTCTTTTCCACATAATCTAGAGAATAACAAAACAACAGTAGTGGTTTTGATTTCAAAAGTAACTTAACCTAGAAAGTATATCATTTCTTGAAAAATGTTCGTTTCTCTAATGTTACAGAAAGGAAGGTTACATCACTAAACATCAATTTTCTGGAGAAGTAACAACTTTAGAAGTTTATGAAGTAACATATTTAACTCAGTGTTTCATTGTGTCACTATGTTTGTGGATATAACCTGATTTCAATTTTGTCCTTCTAGTAAGGAAAATTCTCTGATAAACTTACCGTAATTTTGACTGATTTCTGTCTTGGTTGTTCTTTTCTTTCAATAATACCACAGATATGTGCATGAAGAGTAACGCGTGGTTATTATGATGTGTTCAAAATATTATCATCTCATGCAGGTACTCCAAGTAGCTGATGCTGACATAAATACCTTGAGTGGGACAGAACTCAGTTCTCTGTCAGCTGCAGGGTCTGGCGCCCTTCTGGCCCTGACACCATCATCAAGACGCAAACAGCTCCTTCTTCTACAGCACCAGCAACGCAGCTCCATGGACACTGAGGCTTTGGATGAGGAACTAGGAGCAGAGTTTGATGCTCAGGCATGGACACTGTACAATTACTAAATGTTTCAAACATTATTGGTATTGAAGAAAGCAGTCTTCTGGGATTTGGCACCGTGTATATGTGGTGTTAACCGACGTTTCGGAAGAACGTATCATCTCCATCTTCAGGGTAGAAGGAAAAATATAAGAAGTCCGCAAGCGAAGAGACCGTAAGAACCGGTAAAAGCAGACTGGAGGATGGAGGCGATACGTTCCTCCAAAACGTCGGTTAACACCACATATACACGGTGCCAAATCCCAGAAGACTGCTTTCTTCATAGTCTGAAAGCCTCAAATCTTACATTATTGGTATTCACAGAATGTGACACAGTGGTGTCCAGTAGTTCTACCAGACTACACTGCCTCATATCCCAGAAGACAGTATTCTTCATAATCACTGATGTGAGAATCTCAGAATTTGCCTGAATATTTTATTGATTATGCCTTTCTCAAATTATATAATGATGCTGTATTAGTTGTGTATGCTTATATGGCATCAAGTGAGAAATTTGAATGATGAACTGGGAGGAAGTGATCACCCTATGTAACACTTACAGATAAGGGAAAGAGAAATCTATAACAATCAACAATCAAAGAATCCAGTCACCAACATGGAATTAAGTGTACAGTTGTGTTGTAGAGAAATTTGTAATATTGGCCATTTTCAGTGTCATTCATTTTCAACAATTAGAAAATGAAAGCACATTATAAGAATTCTGTGCATTCAGATGCTTTTCTTTAAGTATCATGCAAACTACAAGACGGCACCAAAAACCTTAATATCATATATACACAAGAGGATGCATATAATAAAAAAAAATTAACATTGCTTATAGTTTTGTATGGGTGTGAAATTTGGTTGCTGATGTTAAAGGAAGAACATAGACTAAGAGTTCATGAGGACACATTGCAGAGAAGAATATTTGAATCCAAGAGGGATGACAAATTAGGAGCTTGGAGAAAACTGTATAATAAGGAACTTCATAACTTGTACTCTTCCCCAGGTATAATTAGAATGATGAAGTCCAGGAGGCAGGGAATCACACAGCATATAGCATGTATAGGAGAGAAGAGAAACAAATAGAGGGTTTTGGTGGGAAGCTACATGAAAAGAGACCGCTAGGAATACTTAGATATAGTTAGTTAGTTATTTAGAGACGGTGGGTTTCCCCATGCACCGCGACCAGTTTCATCTATTGTGCTTCCCTCTATGATATTCTACCAGTCTCTTTACCCTACCGATAAATGGTGTGTACCATCAGTCCCGCCAAACAAGCGAGTTCGGCCACTTGCTTAGCGGTGTCTATAATGATTCCCCCATCTTTCAGAGGCCTTAGAGACTATTGTTGGGCGGGAAACGTCCTGGAATTTGGCTCAGTGATCCCTTTTGGGGATATGAGGTTCTTTTACGTGCCGTAAAGTTACGACACGGGACACACAGCTTAAAGTCCCTCCCAGAGGACTTGTTCCCTGAATTTTTCCGCCCTTAAAAATTTGATGACCTCCTCCGGGTATTTGAACCCGCGTACCACGAGTCATGAGGTGGGAACGTTACCTCTAGACTACAGAAGCCACTTATACTTAGATATAGATGGGAGAATAAAATAAAAATGGTTCTTAGAGAAATAAGATGGGATTATATGGACTAGATTGATCTGGCTCAGGATAGAGGCCAGTAACAGTCTCTTGCGAACACAGTATTGAACCTCTGGGTTCCAAAAATTATCAGGAATTTCTTGAGTAGCTGAGCAACTGGCAGCTTCTCAAGAAGGACTTGGCTACATGGAGTTGTTTAGGAGGAAGTTATTGAACCTCATTTACTGTTTCAGGTCCCACAGGCCCCTTCTTCTCCCAGAATATGCATCGAATCCATGGCATCCCTCAAACCGAGTCCATCAGCAGTGCCAACACCCAACCAGGAAGTGCCACAGATGCAGGAGAATGTCATGGGCATCAGAAGACGGCCTTCACCCTCTCCTGAAAGGTAGACTTTTCTGTATATCATATGTCTCAAATAACCATTGCAGTTGTTTAGAGCTCTGCGCTTCCAGCTTCAAGCTCATTTCTTGCTTGACTTACCATTCAACTCCGAATATGAATGTGTTCCTCCAAAATGTTGGTTAACTTCCAACAGACTACACAGTGTTATACACCAGAAAGTGTAGCTCTTTACATTATTTAATGTTTGTTTCAAGGCTAGACCACGGGGTTCCTCTGTCACCATGTCCACGAGAGAGTGTTCTCTCTACCAGCCCCAGCCGACCGCGAAGAGAACTGAGAAGTAGAAAGAGTCCCATACCAGGTGCACGAACTCCAGACTCTGGACACGATTCAACACAGCAACAATCATCATCACTTGAGTCATCAGAGGGAACAACACGTGGTAAGAATTATTTTATATACTAGATTCTGGGCTTCTTATAATGGAAATCATTCTGGTGTATGACAGCACAGAGTCTAGAAGATAGGTTCTGAAGTTCCTGTCAAATGTTGGTACCTATCTACCAGATAACACGGTATAACATCCTAGAAGACCATAATATTTTATATATACTAATATTTGGTCTAAGAAATGAATAAGAAGTTACAAAAACATCTTATGAACTGTATGTTCCTTCGGAAGGTTTAGACTGAACGTAGAGACCAGGTCTGTAGTGAAGTCAGAGCAGGCACCTGATGCATTTATGGGTGATGGGGCCTTACCCTGGCACTTATTTTAATAGCAGTGTTGTGAGACATGAATAAATTATGGCTTATTTAATTTCCACCCTCTCAGTTTGTGGCAGATTTTGAGGTTCATTATGGTTTTCCCATAACACCTCAGGCAAATGCTGGAAGAATACCTTAAATTATGCCATAGTGACTTCCTCCCACATCTTTCCCATTTCGTTAATAATTGTATTATTCCACAGCTTATAATCTGAGCTCCTGAGAACATCTTTAAATAAAAAATAAATAAGTAAAACAAATACTAATCTTTTTTATTTTATTTTTTTTTCCCCATTTTATGCATCCTGTTGTGTTATAATATACAACTTCTTTATTACAACCGTCACAACACAACTAATATCAAGATCAGTGCCTAGTTTTGGCTCTGCTACATGTTTCGGCTATTAATAGCCATCATCAGACAAATACATGGTTAACAGTATATACACCACTGAACCGCAGTACTAGTAAAATTGGATTCAATATTATTAATTATATAAAATACTTGACATAAAAATACAATAAATTAGATTATATGAAACAAAAGTTATAGTATATAACAAGAATAAAATTCTTCGATTGATGTTTTACATTATCGAGTCAGTCGTTGCTCTGATATTGTTCTTGATATTAGTTGTGTTGTGACGGTTGTAATAAAGGAGTTGTAAATACTTATCTAATACTGACATAATTGCTTAGAGATGGGGAGTAAAAGCACTCTTGGGAACAGCAATGAAATGGTGAATATTGGTACAGGTTTTGGACCATCAGTACCTGACCTCCTGATGCTAGCTCGAACCGACTCAGGTGGCAAGACGGGAACAGACCTATCAGAGACCTCTACCTGCACTACAGAAGACTATGTCACTGCCAATGATACGAATAATTCTGGGACAGACACAAGTTCCCGGCGCAGTCTGCCTCATGCTGTGGGTGCCCCAGCTGTTGGTGGTACTGGAGGAAGCATTGGTGCTGGGGATGGTAGTTCCTTTGAGAGTGCCTCTTCCATCTACAGTTTTACAAGGGAAATGACTGAGGATCTGATACAGGTTACAAAGTTTTTTATCTTAATGTATGATGATGTTTAGTGATTTATTCTTACAATGGTGACTATTATGAGATGACCCCAGGACTTTCCACATCTTGTGGATAGTCCTCTTCCAGCACATAACATTTGCAATATTTTGTAATTCAAACGGTCAAGTAAAATCCACATTCTAAATAATAAAAATAATTTGAAAAATCTAGAATTAAGTAACATGTCAGTGAACTAAGGTGATGGATATAACAGTACAGCACTCTTGTTCAAAGCTATTCATTTTCATTTCTCTATGATCAAAGATTATTAGGACTACTATGGTTCAGATATATACATATATTCTATTTCCACCTTCAGCTGAATAGGATTTAATAGACAACTTACTCTGCTGCTCCCCTCAGTAGAACTATTCTGAAAACATGGAAACCAACAGTCTTCAGAAATCAAGTATAGAAATTATTTATACTGAAGAAAATCTGCAGAAGATAGTCATGAATTCAGGAGCTGCTCAGTTCACAGCTTTGATAGATTATCAACTATCTGTACATGTATTTTTTGTGGTTTTTCTATATTTCTCCAGAAAAATGACTTGATAGTATCTTAAACAAGGCCAAAATTATTTCATTTCAAACTCTTATGTTTTGACCATTCATGACCATTCTTTTATTGTATTCGATACTATAAAATCTCCATAATTTAAAGAGTGTCATCAACTAACCTAAGGAAGAATTGGGTTTGATTGTGTGGTTGTCATAGTAAGTGAATGAGAGACAACAGTGCTGTGAGAATTGAGGGCCTCAAAGTGATATCAAGAATATTGTCTTGTAGTCTAGTTTGCTAAATGATTATCAAAATTTCATGTTCACTGCCTCTTGATCCAAACTTTTCTTTTCTCAGAACATTTTTCCCCAGATTCTCTCAATACTCAGAATAAAATTTCTTGTTTCTAAAGCCATACGTCCAATTTACTTATGCATGGAAAAAATTGATTGCAAAAATTATTATGAAAGAAGCACACAAACATCAATGTACCCAAGTGGATAATATGATACCTATTTTGGGGGCTTAAGCTTAAAGCTTTTAAGCTTAAAGGGTAATCCTGTATGCCAGAATATACAGCACATATTTTGCAGATCTTCTGTCTCCTCCTGTTACTTCATTTAGAACTTAAAAATGGTCTCAGTATCAGATTTTCTTGAATCTGATATTTTGTGATGCAGGTTTCATGTTCTCCACCTCCCATCCAAGAAGAAAGCGATCTGCCTACTACACCACAAGTTGAGAGCGAGGATAACCAAACCAGTACTACCCCACGTGTCAGTGTGGACATGACAGCAGCCCAACAGCAGTTGAGGGCATCACCAGGGTACAAGGATGGGGCCACATCGCCCAGTGGAGACACCAGTAGCAGTTCTGGCAGGTGACAATAAATATGTTGTTGTTGCTGTTGTTGTTGTTGGAGAGCAGGGAGAGCACAGTCAGTATAGTGACTGATTATGGGTTGGACAGCAGAGGGGTCAGAGTTCGAGTCCTGATAGGGGCAAGATTTTTTTTCCTCTCTACATCCAGACCAGTTTTGGGGTCCACCCAGCCTCCCGTCCAATGGGTATCGGGGGCTCTTTCCCATGGGGTGAGGTGGCCAGCTAGTGAAGCTGACCACTCACTCCCAGCTAGTGCTGAGGTTAAGAATACATCCTCATGGCATAGTACTTAATTAGTTAAGCACAGAAATAACTTTACATTTGTTGTTGTTGAGATATCCTGATAATGTGTTACTTTAAATACATTTATTCAAACTCACGCTCAAGTGATGTCCCTGAATATTTATCAAGAAGTCAGAGTACAATTCTATCATCTATTGCTCCCTCATAAACACTACGGGATTTGCATAGAAAATGTTCAGTGATACCTTTCAACATAATTTGAGAGTTATGTGAAGACAATGCTTATTGTATAATCACTGATTGATATTAATATATTTCTCAAGTCTTTTATTTTTCATGTTCAATTTCTATCATTAATCTTAACTGTGATATAGCAACTAGACTTTTGGCTTACATACTTTGATGAGCTAAGTTGTACAGCATTTGTTTTTGTTAACATATTTCATTTATGGATCATTTAATTATTTTTATAACAAGAGAATTATAGGATTGTCAGTGAATAATGAATTGGAAATGATGTGGAATGAAGCACTTGTCGTATAATTTGGGCCTGAAAGGATTAGGGAAACCATGACAGTCCTGAGTCAGTATCGCCTTTGTCTGAGCAAGGATTTGAAGCCAGGATCTCCCAAATATGCAGCGGAAGTGCTGCTGACTCAGCTGTGGCATTCCATTTGCTGTTATCACCTCAAAGTTATTCAACTTGTATGTAACAAAGAGCTAACAGGGGAATGGAGAAAATTACATATGAAAAGTTTTATATGCGAGTAATCAACGGGAAGCAAAAAGCAAGAACAACATGTGATTGCCCCCTGCTTTTTGCTGATTGCTTAGTTTATTCTTTGACCATGAAGATGGAGGCAGTATGTTCCTCTGAAACATCAGTGAACTCCTACCAGACTACAATGTTTCATATTCCCTTTTCAACTCGATCATGATAGAATGATCCTATGGGTTCCATAAAAGACAAGGAAATTCTTTCTCAGCTTTGCAACTATCACCTTTTCAAGAATGATAGTGTGCCATTACGATAGTTCATAACAAGAGTTCGAATATTTTATGTATAGTTACAGCGTGGAGGGAAGTGGTGATGAAGCAGAGGACAAGGAAGCGACATCACCTCCACGTTCACCTGTGCAGAAGCCAATGAAGGCGGCTTCAGGAGCAGCAGCCTCTGGGTCAGACGACGAGGAACGTAGTGCCCACTATTCCAGTTCTGGGTATTATGAATCACCACCTGATGAAGAGGAAGGCTATGGATCAGCAGGGGGTAGAGTTCCATCAGGCGAGAGGAGGGAGTGGACAGAAGAGGAGAAGCGGCGCCGTAAGAAAGGCTTCAAGCTAGACTTCTCCCCAATGATAGAGCAGGAAGGCACTGAATCTACATCTCCTGCAGGTAAAGAAATGTCTCTCCCGTTACTATATAAGACTACGGTGATCCATCACTCAATTCATGTATCATGTTTTTCAGTTCTACCATGGATATAAATAGCTTTTTGTGCAAGGGATTGGTCTTATAGTACAAACTTTGTCTATAAAGTTCCGAGACTGAGTCTGTAAAGAATACAAAATTCATCTTATTAACTAATGGTTCCTGCCCCTTTCAAAGTAGTCCTCCGCAGTCAACACACTGTTGCCAGAGTTTCAGCAAGTCCTGAAAGCCGCTGGTGAATGCTTCTTTCAGAATGGCTGTGAGCTCCATTGTCGCAGTCACTTGATTTGCCTCTATATTCTTGTGTCACCATCCTTTTAACGTTTTCTCAGGCATAGAAACAGAAAAATATCGCATGGAGAAAGGTCAGGGGAGTACAGGGGATGTTGAAACACCGACATCCTGCCTGACACAAATTGGTTTTGCCAACCAAACACTGGCACTGGAGATAAGACTTCATCGCCGTAGGCATCATGCAGAAGCTGCAATGTTTTTGTGGCTGTCTTGCTCATCTTCACACAAAATTTTATGTTCACTCGCTGTTCAAATTGAATGTTCATTCTTCTCAGAGCACAAATCCACAACTAACAATTGACATGGGTTTTCCTCTGTGCCCTGTCACCTAGCGGAGGTCAAGCGAACTAATGTCAATATCACAGGCGAACCATAAAATGTCCCATATTTAGAACACCTTTACCCAGAATTACCACCATTTACCTAAGCCGAGATATTAAATCAGTCTCGGAACTTTATAGACAAAGATTAGTTAGTTCAGTTTCTTGGGGTGAAGTGAGACTGAGTCCACTGTTTGGCTTATTGTACTAGACCCAAATGATGTATGATGATGAATGTGGAGCAGTTGGTGGAATGACAATTGGCAGGAGAAACCGAAGTACTCAGAGAATACCTGCTTCCTGCCACATTATCCATCACAATTCCCGTGTGATGTGACCTGGGATCAAACCTGGGCTGTCACTATGGGAAGCCGGCAACTGACTGCCTGGGCTATGGCACAGCCTTGGACTTATTGCAAAAATGGGGTGAGGGAAAACCGCGAGAACCCTCAGTCATAAGAAGTGGTTCCAAGGTCAGGATAACCTGTGAAAAAAAATCGAGCAATAATTATTTCCTTAATGCAGAGAATCTGCCAACCACGCACACTGTAGTAACAGGTAAAGTTATCCCTGCAACAGGCTGTTGAGGCCCATAGGGTTATGAGATGTTGAGACTCCCACATTTTCTAGAAAGTTGGCTCACAGATGGCGGTGAGGTTGTCAGCCTTAATGCGCTTGCCAGCCTGTAACTCCAGGAAGATTCCTGGTACTCATTTCTGTTAGAGGTTCATTAAACTTCAGAGCCATAGTTTGGCTGGAAGGATTAGGTCAATTGAAATATCCAATGACCTCATCGGGAATCAAATCCATGACCTTCCTGCTCGTAGCATAGTGCTTCAACCAACTACGCTATAGCGTGCCCCCTACTGCTCATGTGGCTTGTATAAATTGTGTAACTATAGGCTGCTTAACAAACATTCATATACAAAGCAAGAAATTATTCTGTGCCATAGGGAAACACAAAGAAGCAGAGGGCTCTAATAGGCGATCATCAAATAAAAGCGAACACTCCAGCAAGGAAGAACTGAAGAGGATGAGTGAGAAGAAAACTACACCCCCAGGAAATGAGGGCAAGGACAAGGAACGTTCTACCACTGGTAGAAGAACTAAATCCAGGAGTCGAAGTCCTGTCCACCATCACAGACGAACTCCATCTGCTGCCACAGCAATGACAGGAAATATCCAGGTTAACCAAAATGCATATCTAAGACATTTGTTTAAATTTTCACTGAGAAATTTTCACCATAAATGAGATATAAATGCCATAAATATTTATCCCTAATAAGTATTTGAAATAGGAACCTAGTTCAGATATGTGTGTGCACTAAACCTTTAAAGAACAGTTATTTCAAAATGGAGTAAGACACTGCTCCTAAGAAATTATTTATTTTGCCGACAGAATGTATTTATAAGTTTCATATGATTCTTAGGATAAACAGTGATTATGTGCCTGAATAATTGTAACTGGTCCTGAAATGTTTTTTGTGAGGTAATTATTGAATGTCTAAATAATATGTAGGTGAATTTTGGGCTTGAATAGTCTAATAAGAAAAGTGTTTTCTTACAAAATCCCATGTCCTTAATTTTTTCCAGTAGTAACAGAATAAAAAGTCCAATAATTCCCTTTTGAAGAAGACTGCAAAGGAGTTTCAGTAAATACGGGAATAATATTAATGTGAGTGGTTGTAATTGAAACTTAAAATCTTTTGCATTGTAATACCACGTATTCAACATAAATTTGAATATACTCCTTATACTCCTTCACTTGCACACTGAAGGAAAAAATAGTATGTGCCCATGAAATAACTGAAGTCTTCCCCCTTTAATAAGATATCCCAATGTTAAAATCTGAAAGACTTAACAGTCACTCAGTTTAGCCATAAACACCTGAAAAGTCAGATGAATATGAATTGCTTATCACATTCATTTTTATTTAATGAACCCACAGCACTAAATGCAAAATATAAATTAATTTTTGTTTTTCATTTCCGCATCTCACTAACATGTGAGTCATGAACTAAATAGATTGCTATTCTTATTTATAATTCCAAGCTCAGCAGGTAGTAACTGAAGTTTTTGGTAGGGTCACCCAGGTTAGCCAAATTAAGCGTAAGGAACAGAAACAAGATTACTCTCTTCTTGAATGTTGCATCATGTAGTATTGTACGAGTAGATGGTTACTTGTCTACCAAACTACATGGTGCCACACACCATGAAATCCCCAAACCTCACACAAACAAAGACCCAGCTGAATAGTATAATTCCTTGTTGCACTTCATAGCCCAGTACCAAGAAGGTGCACCGGGACAAGAGCGATAAGGAGGTGATTACACCAGGGATGGTACGAAGCCCAGCCATGCACGAGGGGTTCCGGGCTGAAGACTGGGGCACACTGCAGAGGACCACAACACCGGTACACACCCCAGAGGATGGTACTTTGCTGGGTAATGGGACAGGAACACCTGCAGCTGCTGCAGATGGTGGAGGAGGCACATCAGATGACTCAAGCTGTGGTGGAGGCAGTGGCAGGCGTGCATCAGAGGCAGGCAACACCACACCCACACAGCAGCAGCAGTCACCTCGAAGACACAGGCGTGTGAGAGACTCTCCACGCAGGAAAGCTGCCCCAGGCGGTGGACGTAGTCCCACCACTACCCAGCAGAGGTGAGTAAATTTCAGGGTTCATCTGGAGAACTTACAGGGACCCATACAGGATTTGAGTTGTCACCATGGTTGTTATGAAGAGCTCTGTCTTCAGGGATATAACACCATGTAGTCCCCTAAGAGTTAGCCGACGTTTCTGAGACAAGCAGAGTCTGTTCATCCAAAACGCCTATTGGCTTGCAACAGACTACACAGTCTTGTATTCCAGAAGACAGAAATCTTCATAACAACTGCTGTGAGAATCCTATTCAGTGAAAACCTTTGGTTATGTATAATTCGTCCACTTGCCATCTGCTTTCATGCTGGTTTCTTGCTTAGCTTATTCTTTGACCCTGAATATGGGGGCCATATTTTCCTCCAAAACGTTGGTTGACTTTCAGTGGACTGCATCGCGTTATATACCAGAAGACAACTTTTCAGAGACCCATACAGTTTATACATTACTTGAAACAGGATAACCCTTTCATAGTTCTGCCTCAGATGACCTATTTAGAATTATTACTCTGCATTTTGTGATATGAACAAATAAATTGCTTTAAAATGAAGGTGAATCATTTGACACTGCTGCTATTGATTTGCTCTTAGCCTCAGTCCTCCACCCTTCCCTAAATCACTGAACATTTTTCCCAGAGGGCTTAACTGTTCTGCCCTAAAGATGAAGGAAGGAGGTTCATCCAAAGTGTTGGTAAATACATACCGGACTACACAGCGTCACAGGAACTACACATGTATTCAAGTTTTGACATGTGCAGAGATTTTTCTTGTCTCTACAGAGTTCAGTCTGGATCTGGGACCTGCCCAGCCTCCATAAAATGGGTACCAGGGGCTCTTTCCCGGAGGTAAAGTGGCTGGGGCATGAAGTTTTAACTATTCAGCTTTATCCATTGCTGAGGATAAAAATATATGGAGCTATATTTCCACCACCTTTTTGTTTTCATGACCTTTTACTACACATGTGTACAGATCTGCCATGCTGAATTTGCTGTGCTGTTTGTTAATCCATTCGTATCATCTGTGGCTATGTGATTGTGGACCTTATATGCGTTCAGACTACGGCGTCGCAGCGGTAGTGGAGAGGAGAAAGTACTGAGCTCAGCTGCCACTCTGGCACGACGCCGTTCATCCATCCCAGCCAAATCTCCGCTCACACAGCAAGCACCAATGATTGGTCTGGGTAACGAGGATGCAACACACAGTAGTCACCTCAGTCCACATCGCTACTCCAGGAGTCCAGGTGGCTCACCCAGTCGCAGTAAGCACCGTTCACGTGGCTCTCCAAAACAGATGGCAGCTACTAGTGAAACAGCAGTCAATAAGGTGAGCTCAAGAAGAACCTAACCAAACTTAATTTTCATTCGTTGTGCTGTTACAATAATGAAGGTACACGATCCAGCTGAATGAGTGTTGCATTTTTCAATTTCTGTACTGTCATTTGTCAATGAGAATCTGACCACAAAGTTCATAATACTCAGGGTTGTAAAGTTCTGGGGGGTGTGGAACAAATCGGGCATTTACCCCCTACAGATTTTGAAAAAATTTTCAATTGAAAAAATGAAAAATACACCAAATGTTAATACCAAAAATAAAAACTACTTTTTAAATGCAGTAACGCCTATGAATGAAAATGTTTCTGAGTGTATGAGGGATCTAGAATTAAATGCTCCTTATACTTAATATGTTACATTTACATTTCTTAACACATCCTTTTTGTGAGTTTTCCACATGCATCTAGATGATTGTTCTGTATGTCTGGCCAGACTTCTCAGCGATACTCCTGTTTTGTATTTACAACATCCTACATTTAAATCTTGGGTTTGAGATCATTTACCTTATTATTTTCCTTGGTTCCTCCAGAAATATGCCTGAATAGTAGTTTAAAACAGTGAAACACTTCCTTCTGTGCCCTTTCCAATTCATGTACCCTAATAATCCTGTCATTAAAATTATTTAACTCAGTTGTTTTCACATGTTGACCCTCAGTGGCTATTCACCTGAATGACTGATTCGTTATAAGCCTTGCACAAAACGCTGTAGAGTTCCTACTTTGATCGCAGGCTCAGGGTGCAATGAGTCCCGAGTCAAGTCGTCTCAAAGCACTGAGTGCTGAGTCACTGCGCTCTGTTAGTCCAGGGAGTGACAGTGTGTTCTACAGTGAGGGTGCAGACCACAGCAGCAACACCACAACTCTGTGCCACCACTGTGGACGTGAAGTGGACAGGAGCGCCGTTCTCTCTGGCCTTGAGGTGTGTGATTCAATGTTGCACTGGTCCATGTCAACAGATATATTCATTCACACATATGATGATGACACAAGAAGAAATATAAAACTGAAACCTGTTGAGCATAGAGAGGAGTAACACTACAAAAGCGAATAACAAGTTTTACTGTTGCTAATTTAATGATGAGAACGCTTCTCATCCAGCAGAAAATGTAGCTGTAGCTATGATGTAATACTAATAATCAGACTAGCCCAGATGTTATCATTTGTTGATACACTATTATTTTACCTAATTTATTATTTTTAGGTATGTATGAAACAACCAATGTTATAATTGAAATATATTGGTGTGTATGTGCATATATTTATATATATGAAATCTAATCGCTATAATGATGAATAAAATGTGAACACACTAATTATGAGGACACACAGGATCATCCTCTGAGGACCAAAACACATTTGACCATATGTAGGTGTGGATGTGTCTGGAACAAATGTCAGGGTGTGTCAGTATGAGATAGTGAAGTAGTTCTTAACATCACCAGTAGAAGGTCACTAGATTATATTTTCAATATACACCTGTGAACCAAAATCCCCATATTGGAAATGTCTTTGAACACAAGGCTTTTCTTGTGTAATGTTATCTACTGAAGTTTTGGCATACATTCAAAAGATGTTTTAGATAGACAGTACGTTTATTGACTCATTGTGATGAAGGGTGGTTAGACAAAAATTCATTTTAACTGTACCAAAATAATAGGGCACATGGTAGGTTAGTGGTTGAGGCACTATACTACAAACCGGAAGGTCGCAGGTTCAAGTCCCGATGAGGTCATTGATTGTTTTTCAATTGACATAATCCATCTAGATGCATTATGGCCCTGGGGTCAACTCAGCCTCTAACAGAAATGAGTATGAGGAATATTCATGGAATGTTCTTGGGGGTAAAGGGCAGCCGGAGCGTAGGGCTGACAATCTTACCACCATCTTTGAGCCAATTGTCTAGATAATGTGGGACCCTCAACGTCTCTCAACGCTATGGTCCTTCACAGCCTGGTACTTTTACTTTTTTGCTGTACCAAATATCTCAATTGTTCACTAACTTCATCAACAGAAAATTGTGTTATGTGAGTGTGAACTGGAACCATTTGCCTCAAGGTAGGACCCAGCAGTTTGCTCTTGTAACTACAGTAACAAATCTTGATGTTCCATAAAGGGCAGTGAATATCTTTACTATCTGAGCGACTGTCAGCTTCTCAGGAAGCACAATGTCCCTTTGACCTAGTGACAGTTGTTTGTTTGATTTCAGTGTATACAGCATATTATCTGTTAAGTTGGTTTATCTATTATCAGGCTATATTTTTCAGGGACATGGTACAATCGTCAAATTTGTTCATTTTATTTAGAATCTCATGTAAAGTAGCAGTCATTGTTTTCCAGTTTTTAATCATAATTACATTTTGTTGATAAATTTAAGTAAGAACTCATAATACTGAATTTCATCAAAATATTTTCATGCAGAGCAACATCATTACACAGATGGACACACCAGAGTCAGTAGGTGACCCTGTTCAGATTGTCATCTTCTGGGTTGTGACACTGTGTAGTCTTGTAGGTAGATGTCAGTGATTCAAAGGAACATGCTGCCTCCATCATCAGGGTTAAAATGTGTAGAGTGAGGAATTGGCTTTGTTGTACAGACAGGTTACAATAGGAATGGTCACTCAGATCCACACAAAGGAGTAAGAAAATAGATCCTAGTCCAGGCCAGTGTGAACATTAGATAGGAAAACAGCCGTCTTCAAAGGCACACTAAGGAGGAAATCTGAAAGTGAGAAGGGATGACCCTTTTCAGGAATATAACATTGTTTTATGTCACAGGAAGGAAAGTGGAACTGTGAGAAAGTACTGCCATTTTCACCCCCCCCCCATTCCCATGTTTCTTTCTCATAGAAGTGAACATCAACATCCACCTACAAGACTACACGGTGGCACAGTGCAGAACACCCTAATCTGAATAATCACCACTGGGAAGAAAACCTCCAAATATATATAGGTGACCATGTTTCGTTTTAATCAAGTCTGGAGGCTGTGTCTGTGCAAGAGAGGTAATTCTGAATCCAATCTCTCATGGCACAGGATGGAGAGCCAGGTGGGAATGAGACAATAGAACCTGAGCCACCTGACATTGTACAGCCGCCTGCAGGTTTCGCAGATTCCCCTGAGGGCTCCCGAAATAAAGCAGTATCCAGTGGGCGGCTCTACAAGAAGTTAGAGAAGAGATACAGGTCTGAGGAGCGGAGTGGCCATGGTGAGAGGAGGCACCACAGCCGCTACCGGTGTGACGGTGCACGTGCCAAGTCTGAGGAACGCGGTCGTGAAGACCGAGTTAAACTTAGGTACTGTCTGATATAACAATGGGGAATTGCATTGTGATAATAGTTCATTTGCAATTTGCACAGCTTCGTCTTACATCCATGGGCAACTGTCATAGTTAATGGAGATCTGCATGGCCATATTGCAGTCATTCAGTTAAATTGCAAGATGAAAGTTGATCTGATAGTCACATTCATCTGTTAATTTCTGCAGGCCATTGGCGCGGTCGACAGATGCAAGCTTGGAAATGTTACGAGCTGCAGGCTCAAGCCCGAATGTGATGGTTCACGACACCAGTATGTCTGACCTGGCTGCAGGGGAGGGTGAAGAGGAGGACACCGGGGTGTATGCAGAATCCTATAAAAACGCCACCTGGATCTACATTGGTGATTCTGAAGAGATGCATGTGTGGCAGAAACCAGAAACTAAGGGAGAAGAAAAAGGTAATAAAACTTTTGAATGTAACCTTTGCAAACTTTATGGCACATCCAGTGAGATCCAGTTGGTTGACTCAGCAGCAATGCATCTCACATTTCATGACAAAATGTGCATTTTTTAAACTATACAACTTTTATTTTTGGGGCACGCAGTAGTGTAGTTGGTTGAGGCACTATACTAAAAGACGGAAGGTAATGGGTTCAAGTCCCAATGGGGTCATTGAATTTTTTTAAATTGACCTAATCCTTTCAGCTGGACTATAGCCCTGGGGTCGACTCAGCCTCTAACAGAAATGAGTACCAGGAATATTCTTGGAATATTCTTGGTGGTAAAGGGCAGCTGGCACGTAAGGCTGACAACCTTACCGCCATATATGAGCTGATTTTCTAGATAATGTGGGACCCTCAACATCTCACAACCCTTTGGGCCTCCATGCCCTGTTACAGGGATACATTTACTTTACTTTTACTTATACAACTCTTATTTGAAGCTTCTTTTGATATGGACAATATTTAATAAAATATTAATATAATCACTTATGATTTTACTGAGCATGATACCTGTTGTCTGGTTAGCTCTGTGACAGTAGATTTATGTCTGTAATAAATGAACATCTGGGAAATTTTACACATTTAATCGTAAATACAAGCAGAAGTAACCATTCTTTGTCTAGAATGTACTTAATTTCCTTCAGATCTTAAAGAATGAAAAACATTCAGTTAAAAAAAAAACACAAAGTCACTTATATAATTAAAAAATGAGATTTGGAAATGAGAGATTCAATCACATCCAAAATCCCTACCACAATATTTGCACATCGCTTTAACCCACAGCTATTGTATTGAGTAAATTTTGTACTGTCTTTTGGAGTTCTCAGTTATGTCCATGGTAGAAGACAGGAAGCAGACAAACTGAATAGCTATACTTTTACACATGTTACAGCGTAGATATCAGTTATCCTATTGTAGTACTCTGTCCCAGTGTGTTTCATCGCTTCTAGATAAAAACGTGCTTCTCATTAATGTTCACCTCATCTCTAACGTACATACAACTCAACATCTCCATGCTAGTTTGAACATAACATATATTATTCATATTCAACAGATGACAAAAGTGGTGAATGGGCAGATGAGGACGGACCTCAAGCTGGGGGTGCAAGAAGGGACTCTACTGAATCAACAGGCTCAGAAAAGGATTTCCGGCGGAAGTACCAGGCCATTACTCATCGCATGGTTCACCGGAAATCAAGTGTTGAAATGTACAAACGCCTAGCATCGAAGTCATTTGGTGAGTTAAATGCATGAAACTACTAGCATGTTTGCATGGCCTGCTTCTGGCACGGGAATGTGCGCTTCATCTATAAAATAATGAGATGGACTGCTTGGCTTCAGTTAACCATTTCAGTGTCTGTTAGGCCAACACAAATACACATATTTCCAGATTTTTTTTTCTTCACACCAGCACTGAATACACACATCTCATATGTTCGTTGAACATTTGAATATTCATGCCTGTCCAAAGAACATAAGCATTTGATTCCCGAGCCTTGCCATAGAAACACTGCTACAAATACCAAGGATGGCTGGGAACAAATTCAGCTGCGCAGAGAACTCACAATACTTCTTCAAACGATCTTAACAGGATCACACACATAGAGGTCATGTGAAAGCCTGTACATCAATGTGTAACACCTGATGCCATCTACTGAGAGAAATGCTGCACTAATTGATTAACAGTGAGCTGATACCTTCATCTTTGCAGTTTTGAATTGAGCACACTGAGCCAGTTGAATTGGCTTGTGTCAAGCAGAGGCTTAAACCTTTCTTAGAACCAAATAAAATAAACAGACGTAAAAAAGTAGTGGATTGGGTGTACATGCTAAAACTCTGGTCTGGAGAGTATATCATTGCTTCTTAATGTAAATGTCAGAGAGTCTCTGCATCTGAGATAGTAGTATGTAGGAGGAATAAAATGTGAAACAGCACCTATGTAAATTTTCCTATTCGCAGATTTTATTGACATACTATGGGTTCCACTTATTGTGCTTGTAAAGGCGGCACCATAACTCAAGCGGTTAGTTTCTGGCTTCCCACCATGGCAGCCCAGGTTCGATCCCGGGTCTGGTCAATTGGGATTTGTGGTGGACAAAGTGGTGTTGGTGCGGGTTTTCTCCAAGTACTTCAGTTTCCCCTGCTAATATTCATTCCACCAAATTCTCCATCATCATAATCACCCGGGTCAAGTACAATAGGCACAATAGGCCAATCAGTGGCCGCCGTATCGAGTGGACCCAGTCAGACTCCACCCCCCACTAAGCGAATTATTGTACTTCAGTCATAACATCCAGTACTGAGAGGAATACAAAGTATGCACTGAGTAAGTTTCTGACTTGGAATTTACATGGTTCATATCTTGACAAGGACTCCAATTATCCTGAGTGATATTTCTCGTGGTTTTCCTCTGTCCCTCCATGTAACTGCCAGGATAATACCTTATCTTAGGTCATGAATGCTTCATTTCACAGCCTCCACAATTCATTGTCATTCTTATCTTACATAGATATATGCTACAGCTTCTGGATAGCTCAATTGGAAAGGGAAAAAATAGAGGAATGTCATGAGTTTAGCTGTTCATTGAGTTCAGCAAATACGTGTATATAAGTAGAATAATTCTAAATATATATCATCCAGTTATTCCACATAAAGTAGCATGTTCTGTGAGTGTGCATTTGGAAGACTCACTAGGACAAACTTTTTGTAAGACATGATTAGACAAACAAACATACAATTGAAGACTGTTTATAGGAAATTCATTTTTCCTGAAGAAATTGATGAACTATGGCCAAGGCCACTTTAAGTATGAGCTTTTTTTTTTCACCATTTTCAGGAAAGAAAATGCCTTACACTTTGATCTTATTCACTCATGGATCTGAGCCCTTCTTTAAAGCCGCCAATTGTGCAGCTACTCAAGAACTTCCCAGCATTTTATGGAACCTAAAGGCTCAATACTGTGTTCACAAGAGCCCTCCACTGGTCCCTATCCTGAGCCAGACCGATCCAATCCACACCATCTCATCCTATCTAAGAACCATTTAATATTGTTCACGCACCTATATCTTGGTCTTCCTAGTGGTCTCTTTCCTTCTGGCTTTCTCACCAATATCATATATGCATTCCTCTTTGCCCCAATTCGTGCTACATGCCCTGCCAATTTCATCCTCCTTGACTTGATCATTATAATTATACATTCAAATGTCAAAAGTATATACACTCTTATGAGAATACATAACATATACATTTTGTACAATGTCAGAGTTCAAGAATATTAATAATTTTCTTCTTTACTACTATTTCTGTGAGTAGAATAGATAAAGTTCGAAGAGCACTGTCCTCTGGGATGTGACGCCGTATAGTCCGGGACAAGTTTACCAACGTTTTGGAAGAAAGTACTGCATCCACCTTCATGACCGAAGTGTAAGTCTAGCAAACAAACATTAATATGCGGACGGCAAGAATAGTACATTTGGAAAAAGCACCAAAAAGCAGATGAGAGAATATCATTAAACTGGATCTTAGAGATATGAAGGTGAATGGAACTTGCTCAGGATCATGTCTAATGCCGGGCTCTGGTATTAGCAGTGCTGAACCTTCAGGTTCTGCTACCAGAGAGTTAGTTAATTAGTGAGATGGATCTTAGGGAAACAGACTGTGAGGGTGGGAGGTGGATGGAACTGGCTCAGGATCAGGTCCAGTGGCGGGCTTTGGTATTAGCGGTGTTGAACCTTTTGGGTTCTGCTACCAGAGAGTCAGTTAATTAGTGAGATGGATCTTAGGGAAACAGGCTGTGAGGATGAGAGGCGGATGGAACTGGCTCAGGATCGTGTCCAGTGGCGGGCTGTGGTATTAGCGGTGTTGAACCTTCAGGTTCTGCTGCCAGAGAGTTAGTTAATTAGTGAGATGGATCTTAGGGAAACAGACTGTGAGGGTGGGAGGTGGATGGAACTGGCTCAGGATCAGGTCCAGTGGCGGGCTTTGGTATTAGCGGTGTTGAACCTTTTGGGTTCTGCTACCAGAGAGTCAGTTAATTAGTGAGATGGATCTTAGGGAAACAGGCTGTGAGGATGAGAGGCGGATGGAACTGGCTCAGGATCGTGTCCAGTGGCGGGCTGTGGTATTAGCGGTGTTGAACCTTCAGGTTCTGCTGCCAGAGAGTTAGTTAATTAGTGAGATGGATCTTAGGGAAACAGACTGTGAGGGTGGGAGGTGGATGGAACTGGCTCAGGATCAGGTCCAGTGGCGGGCTTTGGTATTAGCGGTGTTGAACCTTTTGGGTTCTGCTACCAGAGAGTCAGTTAATTAGTGAGATGGATCTTAGGGAAACAGGCTGTGAGGATGAGAGGCGGATGGAACTGGCTCAGGATCGTGTCCAGTGGCGGGCTGTGGTATTAGCGGTGTTGAACCTTCAGGTTCTGCTGCCAGAGAGTTAGTTAATTAGTGAGATGGATCTTAGGGAAATAGGCTGTGAGGGTGGGAGGTGGATGGAACTGGCTCAGGATCAGGTCCAGTGGCGGGCTTTGGTATTAGCGGTGTTGAACCTTTTGGGTTCTGCTACCAGAGAGTCAGTTAATTAGTGAGATGGATCTTAGGGAAATAGGCTGTGAGGGTGGGAGGTGGATGGAACTGGCTCAGGTTCGTGTCCAGTGGCAGGCTTTAGTATTAGCGGTGTCGACCCTACGGGTTCTACCAGAGTCAGTCNCCAGAGAGTTAGTTAATTAGTGAAATGGATCTTGGAGGAAACAGGTTGTGAGGATGGGAGGTGGATGTAACTGGGTGAGATCGTATCCAGTGGCGGGCTCTGGTATTAGTGCTGTTGAACTACCAGAGTCACCTGTAGTAAGTTAAGTAATGCACCAATTGACGTCACGGGAATATTTGTTTCTGGATGCATACCACAGCGCTGAGAGACAGTTAACGAGGCCTATACTATGGAAATTTATTGTCGAAGGTTCCCAGTTCGAGGGAGTTACACCAATATGTCGTACAGATATCTGCAAAATAAGAAGTTGCCCATAAACGGCCATGCGAGTAAGACATTTCCTCTGTGTAACATTTCCTGACCCCTTATTTCAAAACAGGTCGTAAACTCCGGACGAAATGTATGTGTGTATTTCGAAAGAATTGCTTTTAGCTTCGAAGTCCTTGTCGTGGGCGTTACTATGTTCTTTTTGCGAGAGATTCTTGGCGTAACCACAATATTACGTCAAGAGCAAAGGGTTTATAAAAATAGCTCAGCAGAAATAACAAGTAAAGCTGCCTACCACAAGGCTTTCTGCTGCAGAGGAAACCAAGCAGGCAGTCAAATGTCGAACCTCGAACCGTGAGTCAAAGGCCTATCTGTGTACATTGTAGGTCATTCGAACTCTGTCACAAGTCTCCAGTATGGTTTGTGGTAGGTATCGACTTTCTATCGCTAACATTTTGTCACTAACCTGAGGCTTCTCTGGTCTGGCGCAGTAAGCTTTGCCGAACAGACGACTGTGTCCAAATCATTTCCTAGGGTACGTCATACCTTGAATAAGTAACCTTCGAGAAGAAAAGTTTAGTGCGTTTTACGAGCTCTTTGGTATGGTGATTTTTGTCCCCATTGTATGTTGAGAATACAATCTAGTAACTTGTTAATGTGGTACAATACCAGATGTGGTCTCTGTATAGGGTACTTAGTCCCACCCCACTAGCAATAAAAGAATCTTGTTAATGATGACATTATATTCCACGTACTATCTCCAGATGACGTACCCCCAAAGATGTTTGGGACACACAACTAACAAAATTAACATTGGCCTGCCGACACTCAATCATGAGCTTTTCAAATAACGTGATTCTATGCAGTTTTAAATGAATTGTTTTGGAATTAACTACCTCTAATGAATGAATGAAGTGAATTCTTATGTCTCAAGGAGAATTTCACAGTACTGACATAATAATTCAAGATATTCTTCAATATAATGGCTTTTGAACCCAAAGGCGTTTGAGTTTTAAACATGTGAGACTTCAGTTATTCCCTGGTGTTTCAGAAATGTCTTCAGCTGTTGCACTGAAGAAGCATATTAAGCCAGTTCACTATTTCCTCCAGCAGGAACCTATTTGATATTATGATTCTTCATTCAAAAGTAGAGTTATATTTCGGGGAACTTTGGTTTTTGCGTCACTTCTGTCATCATCAGACATATTACTATTATTAATGGAGGCATGCGGTAGCGTAGTTGGTCTGAGGAACTATGCTACAAGTTGGAAGGCCGCGGGTTGGATTCCCGATGAGGTCATTGGATTTTTTCATAATCCTTCCAGCTGCACTATGGACCTGGGGTCGATTCAGCCTGTAACAGAAATTAGTACCAGGAATCTTCCTGGGGTAAAGAGCGACCGGCGCGTAAGGCCGCAGGCATCTCTGAGCCGTCTGTCTAGAAAGTGTGGAAGCCTCGACGTCTCGCAAACCTATGGACCTCCACGGCCTGTTACGGCGATAGCTGTACATTTTTTATTACTGTTGTTTAAACTCGTGTTATTTTGAAAATTAAAACATTACTGGTATAATATTTTTGATCCTAAATTTATATTCGTTGTAATTTAAATATATTTCTTTCATTAAAAAATTGTGTTTCCTACCTGTGAAAGTCGCACTTACACTTTAGAGTAAAGGTTATAAACTTTGTTACGATTTTCCTTCCATGCAGCTTAGTGTTTCGTCGTTAAACATTTCTCCTCAACGTGTTCTTTATCATGATTGTTTTTCATTGCCTTTTGTGGGTTTGTGAAGAGGCTATCATGATCTAATTTAATCTATAAACGCCGGAATTTTGAAATGGTGGTACCTTCAGCTGACCGGAATTTATTTAAATGCCCGTTCCTGTTAGGGCGCTTAAATTATTTTAAGCATTGTATTTGAAAATGCTGTATCTAATACAGTTTTTATGGTAACTTAATAGAATTTACTTTGTTTTTATCAGCAAAGAACATAATGTTACACATTGTAACGTAAGGTTTGGAAATATTTAAGCAAAAAATACATGCTCTCCTTTTTGTTTTTATAATGCAGTTCGACTGTACAAGAGAGTGTACCGCTTCCTCGCAAAGTTGTTCTGCATTATACTTCTGCTTGTAACACTTGACATTCTTCCGCAGTCTCTGGTGTAATAAAACATCTTGGAGCCATAAAATGTATTTTTCTCCTCGTAAGATTTACATTTTTGTTACACCCTTCAGTAATTCGACTCTGTTGACCAGAAAATTGAAAGTATAAATATTGAAGGTAAACTGTAGAGGAAATGCCTTCTTTTGTACGTGAATGCCGCAGCCTTCCATTGCAGTTGCAGCTGCTCGCAACCAGACGCCTTTATCATAGTTTAGGTACAGTGTGCATTCAGTTCTCTGCGACTTCATAGTGAATTCGGATATCGTAGTTTAATTTCAGTATGACATTAGGGTCAGAATAAGAGGCCAATGGGCGAGTGCTGAACAAATATCTTACTTCCTTCTACGGTAACACATTCAAACGCGACCGATGTTTCCTCGTTCTTCGCTTCCTTCACTATAGAGACAACAATGCAGAAATCGACAGAAAAGCCTAAAATTGTGACCGACTATGGAAAATTCGCACGATTTTTGACGATCTAAATGACGCATACGAAAATAATTATAATCCTTCGGATCATTTGGCTGCTGACGAAATAATTTAAAATTCATAGTTATGGTTGTGACGTGCGAATGCGCATTCTCGAGTGCTTCGAGGAGCACCTTTCAAAGGAAAGATTCAGTTAGATGACGCGGGGGCGAAGGCTATGTATGCACCAAGCAGGTAACCACACAAAAGGTACGTTCATTGAATGCTACTGTATTTAAAAACAAATGTTCAGGATTATGCGTGCGCTCCTGCTAGTGGCGTCTGCCCGAGCTTCTGCTAGATACATTTAAACGCCAGAGCGACTGAATATGTACACTTTGACAACGACGAAACTACATATCACCATACGGATATGTGCACTTCGGACATTAAAGTATAAGATTTATTCGCCTAGAATGACTGAGAAGAATCATGGAAAAATTTAAGTTAAAATTCCAATTAACCCGGCCGAAATTGGAACGGATTATTTCAAGGTCATAAGGTAGATATTTTCCGTTGCAGTCATTGTGTTTCTGTCCTTAATTCGTCTGAAAGATTGTGAAGATTTGAATACCTTATTACGAACGTCTTCCGTCTTCTTCTTCTTCTTCTTCTTATTGCAGTGAGTCGTATAAGTCTTCACCTTGAACTATAGACGCACAGAGATACTCACTCCGAAGGTTTACATTTTCCCCTCTGAGCAATTGAATCATACTTTTCTTCGCCGCCGTGGTATGAATATTCGTCCTAATTATATGATGCTTCGGCAAATACGTTATTCGTGTGATAAGTAGAACTAATTTCTTTCATTTCGAAACTAATCCCCTTCATTCACAGTCTGTAAGAATTTCTGAAACAGGAGGAAGGGTTTACAGGAAGTCCATAAAAGCTGCAGTATCAGTGCCCAGTGTGTGTATGTGTGTGTGTGTGTGTGTCACTGTTGACTGCTCCACTCTGCTTGTAAATAAAGTGGGAGTATAGCAAGATACTGATGACGTAAGTGTTTGATTCTGCCAGCAGATACACATGTCCGTGGATCCCTGTCTCAGTCACTCCAGGACTTACTAAGACTGATGCTGAATGTATGGTGTAAAGCAGCGCTGGCTGTTAAGGTAGTTGCTGCCAAACCCAACGGTAAGCCCGTAAATTAACTCTGAACCGCTTTGCCAAGAGTTTTTCTGCAGTTCAATTGGCAACTTTCATTCGAACGTCGCGGCAACAGTTTGCAATAAGTAACGCGTTTCCATCACTGTGAGTATGTTGAATGCATATCGATGTGTTCAATTGTCGAGTTATCGATATAAGTATTAGAATTTCTTGTACAATCCACGATTTGCTATAACCTGTATCTGATATGGTTTCATAGACTATTCCAGTACACTTTGTTACACATTCATGTTGGTAATAAGTACGATATTTTGTGCCCGGTAACCATATATTTCTGTGCTAGCAATAAAAATAAGTAATCCACAAACAAAGTTGTTACTCGACCGATGCATCCGGCTGCTCACAAAACAGACCGCATAAAAAAACTAACTCCGTGGCCTGTAGTGCGCAAGAGAACTTATACCGACCGAACGACCGCCGCTTGTCGGCGAAGTTAGTGCCAACTTTAGCGGATAGAGGGTGTAGCGTGGACAGCGCAACGTTTCCCCACGACCCTTAATCTCCGTTTTCTAGACCTGAGCCGCTATTTCCTTGAAATAGATCCTCAAATATCCTCACGAGGCTGAGTGGGCCCCATTCCAGACTCACTACTTCTCAGAAAATCTGGTAGCACCGGGAATGCGAACCCGAGACCTCTGGATCTGTAGCAAGGAACTCTGACCACTAGACCACAGAGGCGGTCAAACAGACAGTATGATAGTTGAAAATTTACGGAAAATAAACATATTTTGTAGATACAGTATTGTCAAAAATATTGCAGTGCAAGACGCGTAAATGGTATTTCAGGTCAGGCTTACTCTCCAGGCCAATATAGTGAGTTTGAGCGACTCCCAGATTCGTGAGACAGTAAAGTATGGTCCTGAATCCCGCGGGACACCCAGCCAAAACTAACTGTACTGGCAAGTCCAACAGCAGTTCGTCAGAGCAGGACTGAGCAGACCAGTTGGAAACCTCACAACACTTAGGCCTGTTCGCTTATACAGTAGATTAATAAGGTGTAGTTTTATGAATTTTCCCCTGTACGTATCGTTGTATTGCAAGACAGAGACAGGGTTTCTGCAAAATTTAAATTTGGAACATTTGTCTTCTTTCTTCATTAGAATTTCCTTTATTCCAAAATATTAGATATATTGAAGTTATACATGAGCATAATCCAATTTCATTCAGCTTTAACAGAACAAACATACACACATTTTCCGCTATACGGGCCGTATATTCATAGCGTCGTTAATAAATAACCCACAGAAATTAAAGGAACTTCGTGATTATGCAGATCACCTGCAATTGCTTGGATGCCTCTAGGCGCCCCGCCCTGCGCACCCACAAACCAAAGTTAATATTTAATACAAAAAAAAATACAGAACTGCTAGTTTAAAAGAATTTTTCATGAAAATGACAACAGCCGGCAACAGAGAGACCAGAGACCACTGTTATAGATCCACCTACAGACCTGCAACTACTGCGTGCAGCTCTCTATCGGTACACTGTGTTACCGAAATTTGACACAGCACCATTACGATTTTAATACATAGAGGTAAAATCATAGGAGATTATGGTATTTCACGCAGATGATCAGAGGACATTATTAAAACTTATTTTTAGTTTTTTTACCGTCCGCCATGCAATAATGTCAAGGCACAAGATTCCCTCGAATTCCAAAGCACTTGATGATGGCCGAATAGGCCGAAACACGTAACGCAGCACAGTGACGCATTTTCAAAATATTTAATTTGAAATCTTGACATTGTTGCATAGTGGACGGTAAACATTACTAAAAATGAGCTTTAATACCAACTGCAACACGATGCTAAAATATGACATCATTAAGTTGGATCTTAGAGAAGTATAATTATATTCTGGGGGATGTTATTGAGTTACTGGACAGTAGGAAGGATATTCTATTTTCACATCGTGAACAAAATTTGTCATGTCATATATAAAGGCAATGTGCATGTATGTAAATAAATTCTGGCAGTCAACGATTTATCTTCAACAGCAGATTGGTAATTACTGTAAACATACTTCATACATAAGTAGACATATACTTTCAATATACGAGGGTTGGAACTTAGAGTGGCAACTATTTATTTACAACTGATACAAAATAGATGCATGTTTCGAGGTTTTACTGTCCTTCAGTTTAGTCACCAGCATTGTGTACAACCCGTTGCCAGCGATGTGGAAGTCGTAGGATACCTTTAGCAGCGCCTGTTGTGTTGATAGTTTGAATGGTCCGGTCTACTGCCTGGAACAGTTCTGAAGCGAATGCCACAAAGTGGTTCCTTCATCTTAGGAATCAAGTCGAAGTCACAAAGGCTTAAGTCCAGGAAGTACGGTGGATGGTACAGCACTTCCCAGCCCCATCGATCGAACAAAACAGTCATAGCTTGCGCTGCATGCGGCCGAGCATTGTCCTGCAAAATGATGGGTGGGTTATGCAGAAAGTTTTTTTTTTTACGACTCCTCTTTTTTTTTTTTTGCAATCTGTAAGAATTTACAATAAGCAAAAGGTAGGTTGATAAAATGGCATGTAGGAGGCTACTCATTAGTAGACACCTTTCGTATAATAATCAGTGCTGATTAGTTTTGTTGCAGGAGTAACTTACATCTAACTTACTTCTATAACCTTAATCTAACTTATAAACTAAATACATAAAGCTTAGAATCTGCCCGGCAGATCATTTGGCGCGAAGCGTTTAAGTCTTCTGTTGTGAATTGGCTGGCTCATGAGGTCTATTGCAAGTGGGTTTGGATGTTTGTTTAGTCTGTTACTATATTTAGCACTAAGTTGTTGTATTTCTTCTTTGACTGTAGTCATACCAAGGTCATTCCGGATGACACTGTTGTGCACATACCATGGGGCATTGGTTATCACGCGCAGTACCTTTGACTGGTAGCGTTCTAGTATCTCGATGTTTGAATATGAGCACGCTCCCCACAGTTGGACTCCATACGTCCAGATGGGCTTCAATATGATCTTGTAAACCAACAGTTTGTTGTCAAGTGACAGCTTGGAGTTTCTTCCTATTAACCAGTAGAGTCTGGTGAGTTTTAGGCCGAGTTGTTTCCTTTTAGCGGAGATATGTTTGCGCCAAGTCAGTCTTCTGTCAAGATGCATCCCAAGATATTTAGCATCTTCATGCAGAAAGTGTCGCCGCTTCTTTCTCAAAGTTGGTCGCAGGTTGTGTTCCAAAAATGAACAGTAATACTATGCAGTGACGGTCTGCTGTTGGGGAACGGTATGCTTTAGGATAACACCATCACAGTCGAACACGAGAATCACCATAACTTTCACATTGCTGGGGTTCTGACAAATTTTAGATTTTCGTGGTGACCCGTAATGACGCCATTCGTTCGATTGGCGTTTCATTTGTGGCTCGTACGATTTGGCCCATGTCTCATCCAGCGTAATGATACGGCGTAAGAAATCCTCTCCTTCGCGCTCATAGCGCTCCAAGTTGTTACGAGCAGCGTCGTATCGTAGCCATTTCTGCATTTCCGTCAAATCATGCGGAACCCATCGTGATGCAATTTTTCTCATGCCCAGGCGTTCCTTCAAAATGTGAAGCACAGCCGTATGCACTAATCCTGTCTCTCGGGCCAGCTCACGAATCGTATGGCGTCGATCACTCTCCAGTAACGCGGAAAGGGCATACACTTCTTCACTGACACTAGGACGACCTGGATGATGCATGTCTGCCACATTTTGGCGTCCCTTGTTGAAGGCTTTTACCCACCTTGCCACTGTTCTGTAAGGCAATGCAGATTCCCCACAAGCCTCTTGAAGATCTTGATCACACTGTCGTGCTGTACGGCCTTTGGCACATTCAATCTTTATCCAACTCCGTTGTTTCTGTTTCGAAAACATCTTGACAACACTACATTAGACCGCCAGCTAATACGAGGCTCTGTTCTTCTCGTCACTGCGCATGCGCGTGATGTGGGAAGGGAGAGTCCATTTGCTCTGAGGTAAGGTAAGTATGTAACTAACGTGTGGTATAAGCGACATAATTTGGTTCCGCTGCATGGCGTCTCTACAGCAGTGTTGCCACTATTAAAGTTCCAACCCTCGTATAAATATACACCATTTTAAATGTTATGTGTATCCTATGGTAGCTAAGTATAGTTGTATATTACTGTATTTTTATTTGCACACTCTATACTCAGTTTTAGTTGCAAGCTTTTATGCACCTTGATGCTTGAATGTGTCACCAAGTTTAAAATTCGCATCTAAAAATGGCGTCTCAGTAGAGGTAGTATGCTGCTATTACCCTAAATCAACGAACAGCGGGCCTTCAGGCCTGGGTGAATCAAATTCCTGTGTGCTTTTCACGTGTGGCACAAGAGTGTAGTGGCTTTGAGAGGTTCTACAGACGCAAGCTATAGTGAATGCAGGATCTGAGACACATAAAGTGTGACCAAGGGTACCCAAACTCCACCATTTTGTCTTAACCCTGTAAGTTCAGTGGTAACTATATGTATGCCATTTGATGTGCTGTAAAATAATTCCTTATTTTACCCAGAGACAGAATGTGTTTATAGATCCCCTTTTATTATCATGTTTAATCATTATTGTTTTCGTAAATTTTATATATATATAAGTTGTTTTTTTTTGTAGTCTACTTAACGGTGCTATGAGTAACCCGGGCAGTATACTCGTACCTTTGAATGATTGGATGCTAGTGAATAATGAACTAGAAAGAATGTTGAAGGAAGCGTTCATGGCCTGATGTAAGGTGCTGAGGGGCTGAGGAGAACTGTGAAGAACCTCAGGACATTCCATATCCCTGCTGAAATTCGAACCAGACATCTCTTGAACACAAATAAAAATGTCACTGTTGGAGCGAGCTAACAAATAGAGATCAAGATGTAAGATTTGAGGTTTTCACGGCGGTAACTATGAAGATAACAGTCTTCCAGGATGTGGCGCCTTGTAGATATTGTGTTAACCGACATTTCGGAGAGTCTGTTAGCACCCGCTCACGCCGGTTCCTTGCTCGCGAATTTTCTTTTCTCTCCTACCCTGAAGATGTAGGTGATACGTTCCTCCGAAACGTCTGTTAACACAATATCTACAAGGCACCACATCCCAGGAGACTGCTTTCTTCGGAGATCAAGATGTCTGACTCAACAGCGAAACAGAATCGAGACACGGTACATGAATAGGACAGTAGAACAAAGAGCATAGACTAAGCGCAACACTGCAACTGAACATACACACAGTACATCAGGATATATCAACAGTCAGCCTTCATAACGCATAACCAGTCTAAGTACTATTTATGGATATTGTTTGTGCCTTCAAGAAAACACATGGCACAACTATTAAAATTGTCAGCAAGTTAGCTAAAGGGGTGATACTTCTGACTTGTATCTGGGAGGTGCTTGGTTCGAATTCTTTTCCTGGACACCGAATATCCTGAATTTTTAGTGGGTTTCCTCAGCCCCTCTAGACAGATACTGGGTGATATCACAAATTTTCCACAACTACTTCCTTGCTCATCCTTTCCCATTCCTTGTTTACCATCTTGAAATCGTTCAACATGATATAGCCAGAGTCACTAAATAAACCACAAATCATTTGCCTCTTTATGCACAATTATCCTATCTGTTGAAGTTATATAACTTATGCGGTTGATAAAGTTTATTTAAATAAATGGCAATCTTGCCAGAGACACTTCAGATTTGTTCTTCCACTCCCATAATGTGTGGCCATTTTTCCAGCTGGAAGTCTCACAAGAAGCTGTAATATAGAATCATATTTTCACTTCAGATCACAATGTTGAGTACAGGAGGGCATGTTCTTGGTGTTGCAGAGTGTGACAAGACAGTGATAGTGAGACGGGAGTCTGGTGAGTTTGGGTTCCGGATACATGGTTCTCGCCCCGTTGTGGTGTCTGCCATCGAACCTGATACTCCTGCTGAGACATCTGGCCTTGAGGTCGGGGACATAATTATAAGTATCAACAATGTGAATGTCCTAGACGCGTCTCACTCTGAAGTCGTCAAGATTGCGCATGCAGGTATGGTTTAACACTTCACTCATTTTCTTCTCTAAGTTAGAATGGTAACAAGGTTATGTAGCATACCATAAACAAAATCCGCAGTGCCAAGAAGTATTTTTTTTTAACATTCACTCTGTTAGCAGGCTGTAATTTCATCATGGCAATGTTCTCTTCGCAAATTATCTACTATTAGAGACAGGATAGTTGAGTTGGTATAATGACTGGGCTACAAGCTGGACAACCAAGAAATCTGGTGGTTTTGATTCCCAGCAGAAGCAATTCATTTTGCTTTACTCCACAGCGTGCAGACCGGTTTTGGGACCCACACGACCTCTTATCCCTTGCTTACTGGGGGTAAATTGTTCAGGGGATGAAGCTGACCACTCATCTCCATCCACTGCTTGATTACGTATGCAAGGACCTATACATTTAATCCTTCAAATATCTTCGTGGGATGGTGTTTAGATAGGCACATGGACATGACCATTTTGTATCATCCATTTTTGAGAAAATAGGTATGCAACACTTTGGCTCTTTCAGTTTCTTGAAATGTAGAGAAAAGGTGTCCTTTCTGTAGGGCATCATTATGCCAGTGTCACCAATGCTTGAGACTGACATAACTAATTTCAGGGTACTTGAGTGAAGGATATTGTCATTTCATCATTCCAAAAGGCAAAATTTTCCCATTGTCATGAAGATGCAGTGCCATCGCATTTTATGCGAGGATGTGTCCCTGAAGCCCTTGCATAATTCAAGATATGTTTTGAAACATGTAATTCTTGTCCAGTTTTTTTTGGGGGGGGGGATTCTCAATACTTCAACCTTTACACATAAAGCGAGATTTTATTACTATTTTTATTGCACTGTTTCAAATTTGCATGTAATATGACCCCCATTAACCTCAGCGGTAATTAGTGGTCAGTTATATGCCCAAAGCCGGTCTAGAAAACTGAGATTAACGGCCATGGGAATCCGCTGCGCTGACCACGCGACACCCTCTATCTGCAAAAAGTTGGCATTAACTTTGTCAACAAGCCACGGTCGCTCAGTCGGTATGTTCACTTATGGACTAAAGCCATGGAGTTAGTTTATGACCAAAGAAAATTGGCAGAGCTCGGTGGGCTGCAGAGCCAATTTCTACCTGCCAGTGAAGAGATAGGTTCCTACCCTTTCAAAGAGTCAAAATTGGCGTCTATTCCATAGCCAGTCATGTCAATGACTGATCCATCCCATGCACAGCAAGACCTGGGATTGAAGTATAGCCAAGATTACAGATTTATTCAGTTGACCAGATAAAATAATGTATGAAAACTGTGGTTAAAATTCCACCAATTTTTCATTTGAGTCACTGAAAACAGTTTTTTCCAGACTTAGGTCTCATTTGGTCAGAATGAAAAAGTCTGGATTTTCATATAGCCTAGGTTTTCTTTGCTGATTATGAAATGTAAGTATTTTGGTTTTATACATTTATGTTGAAATTAAATATTTACATTAATTATGATTACCTTATGAAACCTGTTGATATCTCAACAGGAAATTGTTGAATACAAACATTGTCAAAAATACCTAACCACAATAACTTAAAATGTGAAAATCTAGCTACATTACTAAGATACAAAACTTGATAGAATAACAATATGCATAAATGGTATAAGGAATTTCTTAGAGCATACATGGATACTGTAATATTGATTGAAGCATATCATCCACTGTTGCTATCTTCTTCTTATATCTGTAACTACTTGATAAACTTCCTAAATACATAACAATGAGCAAGCATTAACCTTTTATGAAAGTTACATCTTGCTTCAATGAACACCACATCATGAAGACATATGGAGGAGCAGAGGTATAGCTCCATGCATTTCTAACTTTGGCACTAGATTCCCTGATCTCCTATCCTCAAGGAAGGAGAAGCTGACATCCATTGAAACAGGACGCTGGGTAGGCCTCAGAGCTGGTCTGCATCCTATGGAGAAGACAGGAACATCTGCCTCTGCAGTGTCCAATCCCCAGCCCCTGTTTGTTCTAACTGAACTATCCTGCCTTGACCATAACAGCTTATGTACTGTATAACAGTAATTCTATCATCATTATGTGCTGCAGTCATACACCCACAGATGGAACTTCTTTCTGTAAAATTATGTGATGGTGTCAGCAGGGTCAGACACTCTGGAGCTGGAGGTCGCTAGGACGTGCAACGTGCTGACGCCTGTGGTGAGGGAGCCTGGGGCTGGCAGCCCCCTATACTCAGGATACTTGTGGAAATTGGGTGGACTGAGCAATGGGGCCAAATGGGTGCAGCGATGGTTTTGCCTCAAGAGGGACAATTGTCTCTACTACTACAAGAATGATACAGTACGTGGAACTGTTCCAAATTCTGGTTCAAGAGTGTTTTCTTATTTATGTTTTGTTTATCAAACCATGTCTGTCATTATCGTGAATAGGAGCTTCACACACTCTACATGTGTAGTCATTTGAAGGTAATATACAACAAGGTTGAGAATTTTTGTGTGGAATAATATCTGTCCACAAGTAGCTTTGATGTTTCTAGCAGGCAATTCTGTGGTGGGGCTTGGCATTCAAAGGCTTAAAGGAGATAAATATTGCTCATTCTATTGTGCATTAGACTAGAGTAAAGGTAAGGTAAACTTGTCCCTGTGCTTAAGTAATTAAACACTACGCCATGAAGGTGTATGGAGGAGTGGATGTAAAGATCCACATTTTCTTGTCCTCGGTACTAGTTGTAGGTAAGTGGTCAGCTTCACGCCCCGGGAAGAAGCCTTGATACCTGTCGGAAATGCGGCTGATTAGCGTACACTTGCTTTATGACTACAGGAAAGTCAACCTCTTGGAGCTTTGATGCTGGTGAACTACAGGGTGTCTCGCACACCTGACAGTGGCCGACTCTACAGCTTTCTGCTGGACAAGACTGGTGCTACCGGACTCCATTTGGCTGCTGATGATGAAGAGTCAGCTATGCGATGGCTTGCAGTCATCAGCCACTCCATAGAACGAAATGCTCAGGTAACATAACAAAATGAAACATCATTGAGGTTTACTATCTGTTTATATCAATTTTAGTAATGCAGCTCATATTACAGTTTCTTTTTTCATGTTATTAATAAAATATGTTTTGACCATATATATGGCCATTTCAGGAATGTTTTATTATATGTCATAATTTGTTTCACTTGTATTTTCCTCTCAGATCCATAATATATAACATCATGGCGGTTTATATTGAATTTATGTCCTTCATTTTCGGGCAGTGACACCATTTTGTGGAGGTTGGCACCGTTGAAGTTTTTGAAACATCATAATCTTCATATTCAGGGCAGAATAATTGACAGCATGACCCAACCTTGTCTTCATTATAACTGATCATAAAACTGGGTGGTCCAATTTTGAGAAATTATTGGTTTCCTTCTTCAGGGTGAAATGACTTAATGTTTATGGTGCAGGACCAGGGCTGTATTACAATCTCTGAAGCCTCAAGCTGTGACAAAAATGATGCTATTAAAATCTACAGAATGTTTTAAAAGTGAATATTGATTAAGGAATAACTAATAAACTTCAAAGATTTTTATTTCATTAATTATGTGACCAAAATGTTTTATGATAGAAGGTAATTTTATCAGAAATGTAACAGTGTGTTCTTTCAAGGAAATGCCATGTTTTGAGAAAAGGAATTGTAATTAATTACTAAGAAATGTTAATTTACATCGATATATATGGGTGAGATGCAGCATATTTTTGTAAACTGCAGAGATAAACGCCACCAATTTCCTTGACAGTGGTCAAACAGCTGCATGAAAACTGTCACAAACTTTATTGTCGTGTTACTGTATGTATGTGTATGTGTGCACACGCATGCACATGTATGCTTGTGCGGATGTGCATCTGTATTATTTTCTGAGCTATCAGTGGCTGATCTCTATAGTGTTCACCAATTTATCCTGATAAGTTGCAGTCAGCCATTTGGTGGTTTCTTTCTTAGTATTTGAAGGTTCCTCAGACTGCAGGGCCATAGGCTGTAGCTCACTGAATTTATACATAAATGCAGCCCTATATGAGTTTCTAGAGGTGTAACAAGTTCTAATATTCATATTATTTTTCTTTGGTTGCCTACAGTGATACGATTGTACATTGCATTTGCCATAAAAGTTCATAAAGATGACTGAATCACAAAAAAAAATATTTGTGTGTTCCTCACTGTATCTTCCCTATCTTAATATGTGTCTGAAGGACATGATGTGGTTGCAGGAAGTCATGCCCAGGTTTGATTTACTATATTTTCAGATGGACCAGTGGCTGGACATCAGTAACAGGAAGCTCAAGCTGGCAGCCAGCGCTGTTCAGCAGCCAGATTGCTTTGGCTACCTCATGAAGCTAGGTCACAAGTGGAAGGCATGGAAACGGCGCTACTGTGTGCTCAAGGACGCCTGTCTCTACTTCTACCAGGATGGCAGCTCAGATGGAGCTTTAGGTGCATATCATCCATCTTTTGATGCCTTTTGAACTTAGTCTCTAAACTGTCTTGTTACGCATGATTTGAGGTTCTCACAGAGGTGGTTATGAAAAGCACTATATTCTGGGATATAACTCCTTGTAGTCAGTTGAAAGTCAACCGACGTTTTAGAGGAACGTATTGCCTCCATCTTCAGGGTCAGAGCAGGGCTTTGCTTGCCACCTACTTTCACATAGTCTCTTGTTTGACTTTCTCTTTGACCCTGAAGATGGAGACGATATGTTCCTCCGAAACGTCATTTGAATTTCAACAGATTACATGGTGTTATATCCCAGAAGCTGGTACTCTTCATGACTGCTTATGGTTTGAATGTCTGGAGTTCATTTCATGTGTGCAGGGGACTCACCTAGCCTCTCAACCAATGGGCATCAGGGACAAGAACAGGAAGCTTACCTTTAACTGCAATCTGTTGCTGATGTCTAGAATTCTTATAGCCTCATTATCTGTTCTCCTTGTATGACAAAATGGCATGATGCTTCATCATGAGCAAATTTACCGTTTTGTTTTCTTATATTGTGAGTCAGTTTAATATCTGGTTACTGGTAGCAAAGGGTCAACATTAAGTTCTTTATATTAAGGAGTTATGCTTCATGTTGTTAGGCATGGCATGCCTCCATGGCTACCGAGTGCAGAATTCTACTGCTGGAGGGAAGCGTTTTGCATTTGAGATCCTGCCCCCTGAAATTCGCCAGAGACATTACTACTTCTATACAGAAACAGAGATGGACAAGAAGAGGTAAAGTACTGAAGACAATCTGATGTTTTTCCCTTCAACAAAGTTTTATACAGTAAGAAGACAGCACAAGTATGAAACATGTATATATATATCCATGAGTAAACTGAAATGTAATTGGGTTCATAGGCTATTAATCACAGAGCATGAAGCTGACCACTCACTTCCATCTAGTGCCAAGATCAAGAAAGATGGAGCTATACCTCCACTCCCCCATACATCTTCATGGCATAATGCTTAACTAACTAAGCGCAGAAAATAATTGTTTACATTTTTCTGCCAAGACCATCAAAGGATTCAGTTATTCAGTATAGAGGGGGTGGGTTTCCCCATGCACGGCGACTAATAGTCTATTGTGCGTCCCCCTTTAATTTCTACTGTTGCCATACCCTACCGATACTGGTTCCCGCTATCTCCACTTTCTGCCAGCGAGTTCGGCCCTCTACTGGCAGTGGTACCAGATAATTCTCCCCTTTCTGCCAGCAAGGTCGGCCCTCTACTGGCTAAGGTACCCGATAACCTCCCCATCTACTGGAGGCATGGGAAACTACTTGGGCAGGAAACATTTTGCCTAATTTTGCTCAGAGGTCTCCTAGAGACATGAGGATCTTTTACGTGCCGTAAATCTATGACACAGGCCCCATGGCTTAAGTCCCTCCCGGAGGACTTGTTCCCTCAATTTTTCTGCCCTTAAAACCCGCGTACCTTGAGTCATGAGGTGGGAACGTTACCCATAGACTATGGAGGCCGGTAAAGGATAGGATGATTTCTGCATTATGAATCAGAAGGGATGTGAAAGGAAGTATCATTAAACCAATTTAAGGTACTATCACAGAATTTTCCTAGAGAGAATGAGAAAAATCAAGCAACAGCTTGACTGGTCTCTAGGCCGAGTTTTGAACCAGTACCTCTCAAATGTGAAGCAGGAATACTACCCATATAAGGTCATTAGTTTATATGATGATATGCACTGCTAGGTTGGTATAGTTTGCTTGCGGACTAAAATCACAGAGTTTTTTATTATGTGCAGTGCTCTACTTTAAAGGGGATTTCCCATTATAAATTTATAGGTGATTCTATTTTTCTCTGTGCAAATTACATATCCAGTACATTCTTTCACAGATTTATTTATTTTATTTATTTCTGATTTATTAAAGGATTCTCTCAGGAGGTCAGGCTATATAATATCAAATTATATAATGATTAATAAACTGGTAAGGATGTGGAAGGAAGTGGTCATGGCCTAATGTCAAGGTACTCTTCTGCCATTCACCTGGTAAGATTGAAGAAAACCATAAAATCATCAGTCAGGATATAGCCTAATTGCTTGGTTTCTTTCACAAATAATGAATCTCTTGTTTCAAAGCTTATCGCACTCTACAGACTGATAACTTTTTTTTTCCATATAAAAAAAGTAACAAGCCATGGGGGCCCATAGGTTTGTGACATGTCAAGGCTCCCACATTTTCTAAATGGTCAGCTCAGAGATGGCGGTGAGGTCAGCCTTATGCACCAGATGCCCTTTTACTCCCCGGAAGATTTGTGGTACTCATTTCCATTAGAGGCTGAGTTGAACCCAGGACCATAATGCTACTGGAAGGATTAGGTCAATTGAATAATCCAGTTACCTCATCAGGAATTGAAACTGCAACCTTCTGACTTGTGGCATAATACCTTAACCAACTGCACTACAGTGTACCCCCATTTTTCCATATATGTTATCAGAAATTCATTATATAAAATAATATTTTAATAAAATATATAACTCGTAATGAGCTCTGTATTTAATAACATGTCCTAATCTGATGAGTCAACTTTTAAAAAAATTAATAAAATAATGGCATGGCATTTGGCTTCCTGAGATTGCAGAAGGAGTAAGTGGCCTGCAGGTATGAAGGGATAGTCGTGAATGTGTTGAATAAGCTGTCATGAACAGCTAATAAGGGTTGGTACTATGCTTTGGAAGCTGGATTGGGACTAAAAATTCCTCACCATAAAAAGGAACTAACATGTCAGAACATTTCATAAAAGGCTTTAAATGTGAATGGATTCTCTGGCATGAACTAAACAACAGAAAATGGACATGAAATTGGAACATGGAACATCCAGAATCTGTATTGAATTGAATTGAATTTATTTACATTCTATAAATCCTAAGCAGGTTAGTACCTTTGGATACAGAATAAGTCAAAAGGTTACATACATAAGTACAGGCAATTTTAGCTTAAAAATTAATATAACTTAATTTTACATCATTCTCTATTTACATTGAAGTATTTATCTAAAGAGTAGAAGGAATGAGCATGTAGATAATTCTTTAACTCTGATTTAAACTTTTTAGTATCATTGTGTAGCTCATTTTCACTGAAGTCTGCAGCAAGTATAATGATTCTCTATCAGTACAGAAGGTCAGATGAGATGAACACCATTGAACTGGCAGACACTTCAATGGGAGGATAATATTATAAACTTCCTTCCAGTAAATGAGTATCAGGGTATGAACTGAATTCAGGTTGCTCAGATTAGGGCCGAGTGTTGGATTCTTGTGAACACAGTAACAAACCTTCAGGTTCCATGAAAGACGGGCTACCCCTTGATCAGCTGAGCAACTGTCAACTTCTCGAAAAGGACATGACACTGTGAAGTTGATTATAAATCTGCCTTTGAGCTTCATTTGAATTTGGGTTATAATTTACTTGTGCACACAAAATAAAATTTACATGACAAATTTTAGTGTGTGCATCTAATGCCAAATTTCACCAAAATTCGTGAGTGGTTTTAAATATGAAACATGTAGATGAATAGGTATGACATACCAATTATGCATGTATTTAATACATATTGTGCAAAAAAATATATGATTATATTTTCTTTCTACAAATGTTGTTCTCACTATTGTCCATAGATGGTTGGCAGCACTGGAGTATTCCATTGACCGCTGGATCAAAGTGGGCTGACGCAAGTGCCTCGGATGTTGGAAGCAACAGACTAACAAGGAAAACAACAATTACCACTCAACTGTCTTAGGCTATGCCTTAGTTTCTACACTCTCATAGACACAACTGAGCAAGATGGCTAACCAGTTTTAACTGCCTCATAACCATTCAGGCCCTGCTAGACAGGTGGTTAACTGAAACGCATATAAGCCTAGCTCATAAAAACAACACAAACATACGAAATCGAAAATGACAGTTCAGGGCGAGCTAATGGCCGGTTAATGTATGTGTTGATAACAGATATCATTATACATGTAGTCTAGGTATGGTGTTGAAAGTAGAGATTGGTCAAATGGGAGCATTTAGGTTAATGTGCAAGGCAAACAACCATTTTGTTTGAAGTTTTCCATGCAAAAATACAGAAGTGTTATTGGTAACTGCAGACGCACAAAACAACATGACAGTAGGTCAGACTGCCTTGTCAAAATGGGGTACCAAGCAACATGATGACACAGGCAGCTGATCACAGTCTGTTGAATGTTTTAGTGTAAAAGATTCTTTTCCAGTCGATGGGAAATTAAGCACCAGTTATAGAAAATAAGAATAACTGTTGTGTGTATTACATTACCCCATCATGCTGGTGCCAGCAGAAGGGGGTAGTTTTCCTTGCAGAAGTTTGTATCTGTTAAAGGATATGTTCCACATTTTTTAGCATTAATTGAAAAGATTTAAATGAAACTATATATAATTGTTATTACTGTTTAAAAAAGAAAAAACCTTAAATTAATACAGATGCTGTATAGATTTTAAACAAAGATTTTAAAAACATACCAAAGAGCTTCCTTCGAATGAAAGAAGTTAATTAAACTAGAATATCATAATCTGTGCCGTTAGTGTGTAAATCTTTTTTTGCGTGGCCTGAGATGGGGTCAGGTTGTCCTCCGCACTTGACCTACAATAATATGATTGATGAGGTTCAGACACACCGAATCGTTCGTGTTCAGACCCCAGAAGTATAACTTCTCAATCCTTACTGCCAAATTTTTAAAACCTATGTATTTTTTTAAGTCATGCATTGAAGGCCTTAGTTTAGTTTCCCCATAAGACACAGCCCAGTTGAGGCCTAGTTTGAGCGGGGGCTTGCCTGACACATATCAGGAACTGTGAATGCAGTATCAGAGTGAATGTAACAGAAAAAAATTATTTATAGTTTTTGTCTAGGATAAACTTTAATAATTTCTAAAAAAAGAAAGCTCAAATTATTTAAAAACACAAGACTTGAGATAATAATGCGGGTTGAAATAAAATTAACAAAATAACTAAAGAATAAAAAACTACCTTACCAAGGAGTTGCCAATGTTTCATTCCTTGTGTCCATGAGTTTTTGTTGTCTCAGTGGGAGAAGATGTGTAATATCATTTATTTATCAACTTTCAGTGTTCATTTACTTGTTTCCTTCATGAATTATCTTTTCTCTCTTTTCCAGGGGTACGCCCCACATATCCTTCCCAGAATATGGATCTGCATGTTGTCGCTTTTGTTGATGTATATGTACATCTGTGTGTAGAATGCATGCCACATCTCCAGGTATGCTCTGTTTCCACCCTACTTTATATTTAAACATTTTAAGAAACGCTCTTATAATACTGCATGGACCAATTTTATTCTAAGATATTAATGCAGTGTAAATCTGCTAAGAAAAGGATGGCACCAAATGCCAAAAAAGAACACCCATCAACACATGCGGAAGACTGCAGCTTCTTTAAGCAGGATCATGCATCTGATCTAAGCCAATGCTGTGTGTTGGTTAGCATAGACTATAGTGTGTAGCTGTCTGCTGTATCCACAACTGGTCTGCAGGGTTCGCTAATGCAATTCTGGTTTTATAGCAATGTTATTATCCATAAACATGAAGGACCACTTCATTTCATTCCTCGATTTTAAGTTATTAATAACAATTTTGGTACTTTATAATACACCACTTCTATTTTCATGGTACCACACGAACCAGAATCAATTAGATGGATTTTGCATATCAATCCATACATTCTTGGATGAAATTGTTTTTCTGTAACACCCCTTTAAACCGTGGCCTACATAACAAAATGGATCCTTTTTCATTATGAGAACTTTTTAGTAAATAATTCATTGAAGTATTTGGAAGGAAATGCAATAAATTACATGTGAATAACTTCCAGTGGTAATTATTGGCAGAACATTGTTACTCTGAGCAAGAGAACAAGGACTCAGGACACTGTCACGCATTTATCTCTATCGTATAATTCTTTATATCATAATAATCTTATCTTCTGGAATGAAGCGACATATAATTTGATAGATCAGTACCATTCTCGTTCCTTCACCTTCTGTCTACAGATGGGGGGACTTTGTTCCTCTGAAATGTTAGTACGCATTTATCAAACTCCATGGCATTACTTCCCAGAAGATGTCATCTTAATGTTCACTGCCTTGACCTCAAATCTCACAGTGTTTCATACTTTGAGGGCCATGGCAAAGTTACAACCCTCTCCCCATAATTACAAATATGCAAAAGTATTACATCCAACTGAAGAGAGTTTTAAAATCTTATACTCCTCTGAAAGTGAAACCCAGAGACCTGATAAGTGACATAAGAATTTATCTATGTGTGTGACTTACCATCTATAGATCCACAGAAGTGTAGATAATCAGTTACAGTAAATAATCTTCATGATAATACACACCACAGACATGAATTCAATGAAGATAAAATGGAAGAAGAGACTCACTTGAAACATGCTTTCACTTAATGCAGACTGGAATTCAGTGTGGTAATTCATGAATAAGGAACAGGAGACTGGTGACAGCCTCTGACAAAGTAAAAATATTTTTTAATGTTGGGAATACCAGGCAATGAAATATTTTGGAGTCATAGTTAAGCTGTAAGCCCCTTCTGTTGCCCATAATGTTCATCATAATCAGCATCCAGTTACTGGAAGTAAACAGCATCTTGTTGCTTGAGTACTCCTGCTGGAGAAATGGGTCCCTCGACCTTGTCATGCAGGCAGAACATTACAGAGAAAGGCAATATCATTCTTCAGCCTATAGTTTAAAAAAAAAATGTGAAGCTGTCCCTGTAAGAGGTCATGGAGGTCCATAGGATTGTGAGACGTCAGGGCTCCCACGTTTTGTAGACAGTCGGCTCACAGATGGTTGTGAGGTTGTCAGCCTTACATGCCAGCCACCCTTTACCCCCAAAAAGATCCCTGGTACTCATTTCTGTTAGAGGCTGATTCAACCCCAGGGTGGTAGTGAGGCTGGAAGGATTAAGTCAAATGAAAATTTCAGTAACCTCATAAGGAATCAAACCTTTGACCTTCCAGCTTGTTGCACAGTTTCTCAACCAACTATGGTAACGCATACCCTTCAGCTGATAGCTCATAGTATGTAGTGGCAAACATTGTATATGTGCCAGTAACCTTGTTCCCTCTGCCAAGGCTTTACCTTGAGACTAATAATGAGCATCAATGTATCAGCAAATATGTTCTTAGAAAAAAGCACTGGATAATCATAAAACAGAAATAAAGCATAACTTATTTTAGAATCTCATAGCTATAAGGATGCGAGAAATCAGCTTTAGTCTCTGGTTGTTTGCTTGGGGAGATAGTCTCCAGTATTTGCTCAACAAAACTCTGTGGGACCAGATCTAGTCTAAATGTCATGATGAAGAAAAAAAAAATCTTTTTTCTGTCAGGAATCCAACCCTGATTATCCAGTACATGTCATTCACTTTACAAACTGAGCTATCCTGGCTATTAGAATGATACAAACTGAAATATATTTAACTTTATAATTTAATTTGTACATGTTCTTCAATAAGACGCAGAACTTGTATCGCTACAATATGACCTCATTAATTAAAAAAAAAATGGGCACAGAATTAATGCATTTTGAATTAAATGGATTTCAGTGCAGTTGGTTTTAACTTTGTAATGGTGTGGTTTGTGCTGAGGATTTCAGAAGTATGCAGCTACTGATAAGCGCTAATGGAACTGGGATAACGCAGTATAATAACTGTGCTATTGGCTGGGTGGCCAACAGTCAGATTCTAGAAGGAATATTTCTGTTTGACACTGTATCCACACTATCTGTGTGGCAAAGGCTGCACCATAGCTCAAGCAGTTAGTTGCTGGCTCCCCACCACGGAGGCCCAGGTTCAAACCTGGGTCTGGTAAAGTGGGATTTGTGGTGGACAAAGTGGCACTGAGGTAGGTTCTCTCCAACTACTGTTTCCCGTGCCAGTCTTCATTCCACCAAATTCTCCATCATCATAATCACCCAGGGCAGGTACAATAGGCCAATCAGTGGCTGCCATGCTAAGTGGACCCAACTGGATTCCACCCCCCACTATGCGAATCTGTAGGGCATAAATGCTGCCTGTCTAATAGGTACTAAAATTTTTTTCACCTGGGGGTAAACGGGCTGGGACATTAATTTCTTCACTCAGCTCCACAGTGTAAAGCTCGTGAATATGTGGAGCTCTGCCTCTATAGCTACTTATGTGTTTGTGGTATGGTGTTAAATTAGGCACAGGGACAGCAAGTGCTAATATCAACGTAGGAGAAGGGACAGAATGGGACGGGATAGCGCATGTGCACTTATGACATTTGTGTTGTAGTATCTGAGTTGACCATCAGCTTAAAGGTAGCTACTTTGCTGGTAAGTAGGGCAATCAGCAGAGATGTGAAAACTTGCATCCAAGATGTGATTGAAATTTTTTCCCATTGTTTTTTTTTATTCAGTTACAATACACATGAATTACCTTTTCTGAAACTACAATTTTTATTTGTGGCCTTATAAAATGACTAGACATGGGCTCTTCAAGATGGAGGCCTATATTCAACTATGGATGATTTCATGGATGAAGTGGCACTGAAACAGGGTTTTCTCAAGGTTTCTTCAGTTTCCTCTGCTAATCAGCATTCCATCATTACTTCATACTCATTTATCACTACCCTCCTGAGAAGCGAGATAGCCCTAACGAGGCAGCACATTATTATGACACCCTTAGTCATCTTGCCTGCTTACAAAGTAAAGAGGTTAAAATTTTGTCATATTGATTTTATTGGGTTTTGTTGTGTGTGGCAGGAATCAAGGTAGTCCATTCAATGAAGAGATGGACTACGGACTTGGATGACTGAGGTTTGATTGCTGTCAGGGACAGAGATTTTTCTACATACTGCCATGATGATGAAACTTCTGCGTCCCTACCAGGCTCCTATATTGTGTGTACCAGGGTTCTATCCCTGAGGAAAGAAAGAGGTAGACTATGAAGCTGACCATTCACCTCCACTCCCCCTTCCTGCCTTGATAAACCTTTTAGACCCAAATTATTTTCTTATCTTTTATTTCTCCTCCTCATTTTTCTTCACTGTCTTCACCTCCTATTCCTCCTGCTTCATACTCTAATCTCCTTTATGTCTTCTTAAATCTTCTTCCTCTTTCGTTGTCTCCTAAGTTCTTCTTACTGTTATATTCCATATTCTTCACCTTCTCTTTTACTCTCCTAACCTCTTCTTCCCTGCTTAATATCCTACTTTTACTACATCAAATGAATACAAGTTTATTGGTGTTTTTTTCTTCTCCTTCTTATCTTCTGTTGCTGTCCCTTCATGTTAGTCTTCTTAACCTTTTCTTTCTCCACCATCTTGCCACCTCTCCCTTCTTCAGTGACAAGAACCACAAATAGTTATTATAGGATTCTGACGATGGTGTATAACACACCACAAAGTTGTGCATTGAGGTTTCAACAAGGTTTACACTGCAACGGTAAGCTGTCCTCAATGGTAATGCTGCCCCTATATTTGACAAGAGCTGAATATTGAGACAGAAGCCAAGTGACACTACAACTGATAATAATTGTAAAGAGTGCAAGAGCGAGTATCCAATAAAGATTCGCTAAATCTGAGACCCACGTGAAGTTACTTGGCGCGTGACATACCCAATACATGACAATATATATATGTTGGTGTACTGATGGTAGGAAATTAAAAGGTAGGAAGATGAAATGGTTTTGTAGTGTTATGATGTCATCTTAACTTTTATAAATATGTCAGTTGCTTAAAAAACTGTGGGGTGAGTGCTCTTAATGCATGGAAGAATGGACACACATAATGATATTACTAAAACTTACTTTTGAGACTATTAACTTCTGAAATGTGATCACATATAGTTATAGAACATGTTGCCTCCACCTTTTTGAGGATCTAGAAAATATATTTCTCTAAAATGTTATTAGATATCTACCAAACTACACAGCATCACATTGCAGAAGATCTTAGCCTTGGCATTCACTGCCATGAGAACCTGTTTTTGTATAAGCTTCTCTTTCCTCATTTACTTATAAAAGTATGCTAAGAAATTAACTGAAATCGTTAGTCTGTAAAGCATTCAGATTTGCCTTC